CCCCCCCCCAGCATATCCTGGTTTTCAAGTACCCCAGCAGGGATAGGGTTAAACCACCCTAGCTTGAATTAATTTGTACATCTCACATGGGAAGGGGAAGGGGTCCGGTTATATTAATTTAAAGGCAAAAAAGAGATGTAGTTCTGATTAGTTTTTATAATTACTCTATGATTATGATAACAAAGCATCAAAAGCGACCATAAAATAATCAAGCATAATTCAGACTGTAAGGCGAAATTCCAATTGGGTTTTCATCCCAAATTAGCACTTTTTCTGAGTTAAGACGATGAGTCTTCGGATTTTAGCATCAGAGACAAAGAATTAAATTGACAGAATTAATCACTCCAAAGATAAGAAAACAACGTAATCTTTCCTATAATAACTCAATTAATGGTTTAAAGGAAGGGTTTAGTGAAAGATCTCTTGGAATTACGTCAATATCCCAACTTTAACCTCACTTGTCCTATCTCACTTGTCCTATCTGTAAAAAGAGAAAATGAATAAAAGGATTAAAGACATGTTTTACAAGCTGAGTAGAAAATATGCAAATTGTAAAATAAAACGTCTTATAGGTCTAAAATGAACCCTAAAAACTTTCTCTGCACTCTCAGTTCAACTATTGTGTCTAGCCAGTCACTCCCTTTAAATGAATTCTAGGCAAAAGACCTGATTTATCCTTAAAATGGTTGAATGAAAGGGGGTGTCCCCCTGTAAATACCTGTTTAGGAACTGGTATTATAGTGGTGGTTGTCACATATCCATTTTCGGCTCCAAACCTCTTGTCCAACTGTTTGAGAAAAAAAATTCTATATCAACATGTATCAAAAACACGAACAACAATATAATCTTTAAACGAATAATTTTAATTCATCCAATACACATTAAAGATTTTACATTTTATTTAATGGGAAATTCTAACAAAAAAGATTAGATCTAAAATATATAATTTCCGCTTGTGGGGTACCCCCCCCCCGAATCCTATTTTTTGGTACCTTGTTATCAATGAAATGAAACCCTTTCACCATTTCTTCAGTTGCTGCTTCAGTTTGGGAGAATAGCAACAAAGCAGCTCGAAAGAGATTAAAATTCATTTTCTAAAAATTAGATTTTGAAAAAGAGTATATTATTTAAATGTCACTTAGATTGAAATATCGTATTATTTTGACAAAACTGTGTAATGTAAACTTATCATTTCGACATTGGAACAAATATCTATTATTATTTATTATATTGGATCTACTGATAATTTAATTAATCAATATAGTGGTCGGTTGTATACATCACGATATGGTTACGTATCTAACGCTGTACACTTGTATATTGAGTGATGTATTTCTAAGGGGTGGTTTTATGTAGATATTTGAATATTAGTATTGATATTTAGATAGATACTTAATACGGATTGTAAACACAGGATTGTATACTGCAGTACATTCAAGTTCAGTTGTTTGTTTATTTTAATAAAAGTATGACCTTGCATCGTGAAAAAGTGTAAAAACAATTCTACTTGTAAAATTGTGAGTTTTTTTTTCAAAATACCAAAAAATTGTGCATGGCTAGAACTTTTAAGGTTGGGAGACTCCAGAGTATATCCCTCGAGTTGCATTTGCGTAAACCATTTTAAAGAAGGAGAAAAAACCAAGTTTGAAGAAAAATCCAACACCGTTGCTCTCAACTTTAGGTGCGAATAAAAATGAATTTACAGTATTGTTTAATTTAAAATTTTAATAATTTTGTTAAAAATTTTATAAAAATGCATTTACAGCTTGTTTAATTTATAATATATAACATAATTTAAAAAAAAACTTTTTGCTAATAAATTGAAAACCTACAAATTTGAAAATTGTCAAATGTTTGCATCAACATCATCGAATACTCTTTAAATAAAGAAAGAAAATCTAAAAATTGGTCAATTCCATGAAATCCCTCTGAGAAATACGATCACTCTTTATACAAGTGTACAGCGTTAGGTACGTAAACATATCGTGATGTATACAACCGACCACTCTATTAATTAATATATAGGGAGGTCGGTTGTGTACATCTGAGGTAAGCTTTACCTCTTCGTTTTATTACTCTATGGATAAACATAATAGTTTATTAATGAACATACCATCGAGTGGTGGTGTTTAAAATCATGGCATTTTTATTGAATTTAAGAATTTATGGACAAACTTTTTAAACGACTTTTTCTGTCCAAACTTTAAAAAGCGAGAGTGACAGCAATTAAAAAATGTTCAAAATGGGAAATTCTCCAAATACCTGGGAATCTGGGGAATTCCCTAAATGCCTGGGAATCTGGGAAATTCCCAAAATTCCTGGGAATCTGGGGAATTCCCAAAATTCCTGGGAATCTGTGAAATCCCCTAATACTTGGGAATCTGGGGAATAGATAAATATAGATTGCTCATAAGACAACATTTCTCAACTTACCAGTTATAGATGTACAGAGATGTTTGAAATATATTCCAACTTATAGATTACTTGGGTTGGTTCCCCCCCTACCCCCTTCACTGACTCACGTTGGTGGTCTTAGTGGCGTCTAATGATAACCCCCCCTCCTTGAGTAAAATAAGGTGGTGGGGCAGATAAGGTTGTATTACTCTGCACTTTATTTTAAAAAAACGGTAAATGAAAGCAGTTATTTAAAACTGCTTTCAGCGAGAAAATCTCCTTGAAAAAAATAGCAAGATGGAAGAGGGGATGGGGGTAAATTTAAGGATTTTTTTCAAGACAGCATGTGGAAAAGGGGGTGAATTGGAATATGTACCTCTTTTGTTAGGAAATGGCACTTTTTTTGGGGTGGGGGAGGGTGTAAATTGCAGTATTCTATGCAACTTAAATCCTGAAACCACCCTTGCCCAGTATGGAAAAATTTAAAATACCTAAGAAATTTGTCAAATGGTTAGCTATTTAGGAAATTTCCAAAATCTTTAAAATATACTACCCTCAAATTCCTACAGGAATTTGGGAAATTTCGGGAATTCCTCAAATGCCTTTAGTCTAAGAAATTTCAAATTTTAATCTAACAAAATTTGTTGGAGCACCTGCATCAAATTCACCTTAGCAGAATCATTAAACAACATTTGACGATTGATTCTGTTAGGATGAATTTAAAGCCGGTGATCCAACAAATTTTTTTGGATGAAAATTTGAAATTTCTTAGAGTTTGGGTAATCAGGAAATTTCCGAAATATCTTGGAATCTGGGAAATTCCCCAAATACCTAGGAATCTTGGGAATTAGCCAAAGGCCTGGGAATCTGGGAAATTTCCCAAATAACTGGGAATTCCCCAAATTACTTAGAGAATATAATGGTAGTTTATTTTTCAATTATAGGAAATTTCTCAAATGCCTAGTTGTTTGGGAAATTTGCCAATTACCCAGACATTTGAGGAATTCCCAAAATATCCAGTCCTTTGAGAAATTTCCAAAATCTAAAAAATAAACCAACCTCAACTTATTACAAAAGTTTGGGAAATTTTGGTAATTCCCTAAATGCCTGGAAATTTCCCGTACTCGGGATTCTGGGAAATTCCCCAAATGCCTTGGAATCTTGGAAATACTCCAACTTCCTTAAAGAATCTGAGGGTGTTATATTATTTCTCAAATGCCGAGCCTACATGGGAATATCCTAAATATAAGGGAATTTGGGGAATTCCTCAAATACCTAAGAATCTGGGGAATTTTTCAAATTCCGGGAATCCTGGGAATTCCCCAAGTTCCTATTTTTATCAAAAGTATAATTGTTGTCGGGTCATGGGGGACAAAATATAAGGAATTCTTGATGCTTAATATTTTGATTTGCTAACAACATATATCTTTTGAAATCTAAATATTTATTGTCTTTTTAAATTGTACAAAATAAATTGCTAAGTACATAATTGGTGTAATTGTTTGACTAGACAATCCTACCTTGTTCAGAGTAAACCTTAATCTGACCATGAGAAACGAATTATTCCAAATTTATAAAATTGCATCATCTAATATTCAATGAAATATGTCAATATCTTTTAACATGTTTTAGAATAACCTTCATACAAACTGATTTGTTTTCTCCAGATCTGGAGTTGGGTAGTTTCTTTACGGCAGAAAATACTCCCCACAGGAGCCAGAAGGTGAGGGGTTTTAATAAGGCTCCCACCTCCCAAGGTGAGCGTGTTTACGTTATAGAAAACGCTCAGTCCTATGATAGGTCACATAGTTTGGTTTTCTATTACATTATACATACAGCATACAGGGCCACGGGCAGCCAGAGACATTTGATTTCCGAGCCGGGTCAATCTTTCTGCTCCCAGTTGGTACTGTATCGCCGGACATTGGGTGAATAACGCAGACATTCAATAGGACTAGCCGGTGCAACTATAGTTTGACGCGGTCAGACTTTAGGTTGAATTTACTTTTACTAAAGGGTCAGGGGTGCGTGGTGCACAATAAACAGTCTTTAACCACTCTAAGCTCTAACAATATCTAAAAGAATTGAACAACAAACTCTGATTTTCTGATCCCTATATCTTTGAAACCTAATGTTGCCACTTGGGAAATTGCACACTTGTGAAGTTACTCCATGGGAAAATACCTATGGAAAGTACCCAGCACCTTATTCTTTCTATAAGCCTTAGAGCCTGAACCCCTTAGTACGGTTCCATTTACATCTTCCAGCCAATGTACACTGAACTGCAAACTTAAAATTGTGGATACTATTTCAAAATATTGTAAATAAGTGAAATTCTGAATTTTTCTTTTGGCGAGGCAGTAAAATCTTAAAAGTAGGATTCCATTCCCTTAGTTTATATTGTTATGGTGAGTAACTACAAAATCTAGTTTGAGGCAGTATAATTCCATGAAATCCTATATAGAAAATATTAACCTTAAGCTATAGCTGGTTTTATCTGGTTTTCAAGCTCCGTACTAACATGAAGGAAACAAAATATAAAAATCGTTTAATCTATATATATGCTTGTAATAAATGCAGCTTGAACAGACTTACATAAACTACGTTGTACAATGTACATTGTCTGAGGATCTAACTGCGTTAATCCTTAGCTACGTATTGTGATTAGCTTAATGCGATGGTTTATATACCTGAGTAATATTGTGAATATGTATTGGAACTTAACAGTTAACATAGAGATATTTGTAAATAGATCAGTTAGAATTAGAACTAAGCTTTGATTACAGTGGAGACTAATTGTACCCTCGTTGAAACAAATGGGTTGAGAACATACCTCAGTATATGGTAGAGATCGATTAAGGGATTGTTCGATAGCAACTGCTTATGTCCCTGTGTGACATTTAGAGCCTGAGGAATAGATTTTGATAGCGGACGGCTTGTACCTGGACTGATACAGTTTGGAAAGAAGTTTTAAGAGTACGGCATTTACTACATACTTGCTTGTCTGTCTGTTTGTATTCAATAAATGTCAAAAGGGCTGAACTGATCGGGCCCAAATTTTGTTTGGGACTCCACACGTCCCCAGGTAAGGTTTATAGACAGATAGATAGATAGATAGATAGATAGATAGATAGATAGATAGATAGATAGATAAATAGATAGATAGATAGATAGATAGATAGATAGATAGATAGATAGATAGATAGATAGATAGATAGATAGATAGATAGATAGATAGATAGATAGATAGATATATAGATAGATATATTTGACTAAATATTTTAATAAAAACAATTACAATTGCTCAATTTTTACATTTTAATTTAGCCAGGGCTAAATGAGAGGCCCTTCTGCAGCGATACATGAATGTTCAATTAAAATAAAACCAAATAAAACAAAAACAATTTAGAACCCAGCACACAAAGTTTATAATGTTTATGTCTTATATTATGTTTTGTTATGATAAAAGGTGAAAGGGGATAGAATCAAGATTTAGCAAGAAAAGCAATTTCGATTTATACATTGAAAATTACTATATTTTTCAAGAAAACTTTTTTAGAACTTGTTTTAAAACGTGTTAGGGGGTGCCAAAAGAGTTTATTTCCAATGGAATAGAGTTCCAGGTCCAGTTCCAGGTCCTTAGAAGAAAAACCGTGGGAAAACTTTCTAGATATTTATTGTTAACTAATTCTAATTTATAACTTTTTGTTCTATTTGGTTCTGCTAACGCTATATAAACATTCCATTAAAAGATAATGGAAGTTTTCCAGTCTGCGTGTGAAGCATAACCATAATCAGCTAGAACTCGTAGAGATTTTTTCTGAAGAGTAGATAATTTACCTAATTTACTATTTACTGACAGACCCCAAGATAAAATACCATACTCTAGTTGACTTTTAATAAGGCTATCATATATTAATTTTCTAATTCTCACAAGAAGGATATGTTTCGATGAATTTCAAAATAAGCCTCCATCAAAATTCGATTTTATTGAATTTGCAAAATTAACTTTTTTTTATAAAATCCGCAAACTTTTTATGCCTTTGTTTTACAAAGCCTTGAATGATAAAAACAATATAATACAACTGATTAATTTTATCTAGATATTGTTTAAAAATATGTACTATGCTATTTTTGTATCCACCTATATAGATTGAACACGCCCGAAAGTTCAAATCAAAGCATTTGCTGCATTCTTCAGACATTTATTTACAGGATCGCAAAGAGCATCAGCCCAGCTCCCTGAAACTCCATCTATTTGTCTTGCAGAGCAGTCACCCTAACAGTCCCCGCCCATAATAAGTTCTTTAATGATCGCAGTTGGTGCATATTAGGTTCCTATAGGCAACTCCTATCAATCGGATGATCTTAGGCGTAGGTTTTTTTTTACCCAAGATACAATTCATGGGAATCCCAACCTGCTTGGTCTCACTATCAGAGAAACAAGATTTTAAAACAATAGCATTTAAACATTTAGAAAACTTATTATCACAAAATAAATTATACCAAAAAAACCCCCTAAAAGTCTGCACCATTTCTTTCTCACATAGATACTTTGCTTGACTGAGTGTCTATTTGTCTATTTGTATGTCCGTTTGTATTTAATAAACGTCAAAACGGCTGAACCGATCGAGCCCAAATTGTGTGTGGGACCTCACATGAACCAAGGAAAGGTTTATAAAACATTAAATTTGAAAATAGTTGGAAAATTTGAATTCGAAAATGAAAATCCGCCAAAATTTGAATACGATTAAAAACTATAAACTGTTAAATTTTTGTGTGTGCTAATATTTTTATTGTTGGATGGAAAGCTTTACATTGCCTTGATCTTTATGTTTAATGCCATTGGTCAATAAACTGTTCCCAGAAATAAGAAGAAAAAATATTGAAATAGATTAACATATCCAGGTTGGGCTATTCTTACCCTATACCAACTCTTATTTTTATTTATAAGGTAGAATCACGGGAATATGTTTTTCTTTATTTCAATGATCAGTAGGCTGACTTTTATAGGGAAAACTTAGTAACCAGGTAAAGCTGGTTTCCCTAGCATAGTAAACAAATGAGATCTAGAGCAAATATTCTATTTTTTTCTGGATAATACATATATGTAAATTGTAGTGAAAAACTTTTAAAAAATTATGTTTTCAGAGATGAATATATTTTTTCAGGCAAAGAAACTAATGCGAATGCAACCTGAGATACTGGGGGAGGTTGATTCAAGCAAGGACAAGGATACAATAACAACACAGATAGAACACTAGATGTCTTTTTTTCAAGATTTAGGGGTTTTTCGTTCACAATAACCCTGAGGAAGAAGCCTAAAGGATCACGCAAAGGGAGCTTTGAATTAAAAGACAGAGATATAGCATGCGAGTAACTCCCTTTGGGCTACTTCCTCAGGGTTTTTGTGAACGAAAAACCCCTAAATCTTGAAAATGCGACATTTAGTTTTCTATCTGTATTTTCTCATTTAATCTATATGGAATTGACATTGACACAATAGTTTTAAATAAAAAAATTTAAAAATTCAAAATAATACATTTATTTAATTTGTAAATACAAAGATTGTAATGCCCAAAGTAATATTCTTTTATAACAGTAAAATTAAATCCTAAAAAGGTTGTGTTTACATTTGGTAAATAAAATGGCATGGGGGCCAAGTAGGGAAAGGGAAACATTATATTCAGCCTTTTTAGAGGTTTACAAAGTTGCTCAGATCCTTATTGTTAGCATTTTTTTGGTCTTCAAAACTGCAGCTTGCAAATCTAAAACAGTAAAGTCATGAAAAATAGACATTTAAGATTTAATTTGATTTGAGTTTCTAGTAAAATTTATTATGCAATTTTTATAGAATTTGAATTTATAGAATAGAATTCATCCAAACACAGGTTATTCTGTTAGAGAGACACATCTTAAAATAATCTATTTCAAAACAACAAATAATGAGCATATAATAGATAGAATAGGCAAAGAATAAATTAGATATATGAGAAGTCCTTTTAAACCTACCCCCTCCCCATCCTGTTCCTCTTTTATTAAAAGATAACCATTATGTATCTATAAAATTATGAAAAAGAATCGCCATGACATTTCCATCAAATGTCGGAAATCATATCTTGCATGTCACAATTTTTTGTTCATGGACAGTTCTAAAGGTTTATCTGCCAGTCAAATTGGTTTTTTTTTTATTTCTGTATTTGTTCCTAAAAAATCCTGCTGCAATGGATGTACTATGTAATGTATGTTAAACGATAGTGCGTCTTCAAAACACTGCTTGCAATATTGTATCAATTTTCATGAATTCTTACAGTTTTAGACATTTATTAAGATCTGCACGTAAATGTGTAGTTTAAAATCTTTTATCTAAGGAGACATTTAAGCATGGTCTGGAAAATAATATAATCTGAACAGTGCGCGCACAAAGATCAATTTTCAAGACTGGGTCGATTTTGAAGCGTTCCAACGCTTTCGCTCAGTTAAACTTGTATGTGGTCTTAGACATGCACATTTTTGTGGTCTTAGACATGCACATTTTTGTGGTCTTAGGAATGCAGATTTTTGTGGTCTTAGACATGCACATTTTTGTAGTCTTAGACATGCACATTTTTGAGCATTTCTATTTTATCTTTAGTTTTCAAGCAAAATTCTCATAGATTTTTGTTAATTTGCAACTTTAATTTTTGCGCGCTATGTCCTCCAGATTTAAAATGTGAAGGGTTAAAAAAAGTATTATCTAGATACTTGAAGTCTATATTTTTCATATTTTACTTTACTGCACTAACAAAACTATAGACACAATAAAAAGATCAAAATTATACAAAATTACTGTTAGGACTTTGTGACCTGGATGACCCTCTGGTATTTCGTTGCATTTAGAAATTTAAAAACGTATTTCTCAATTTTTGACTTCAAACCGAGATGTGCACGCTCTCAGTCCTTTAAACTATAGTCAGAAAGAAGCGCGTTGCACTGAAAAAAAATGTATATGCCTAGGGCTACACAAAAGTATAAGTAAGTTAGTGAGGTAAAACCAAAGGCAACACTTTAAAGTCGTAACTGCTGTCTAAAATTAAGTTTCAATATCTCTGTGAGCTTTTCATGAAAACGAGTTACAACTTACAAAATATAAAATGAATATCCTGACTTTACCCAAATGCCTAAAAGATACCTATCTTATTGTAAAAAAATACCTTTCTGCACACAATTTTGGGTCTTTGAAGTGAGTTCCTAGTTTAGCAGCTTGTTGGAAAGCTAACATACCCCTCTCCCCAGGCAGAACTCCGCCCTAAAGTGAACGATTTCAAATATGCGTTTGATTAATAGAGTTCAAAAGTTTGGTATAAAAAAAAATATTTTTGTTTTGTTATTTTGGTTCGTATTTAAAAACGGTCATTTTTTAATTTCTCTGAACAATCCATTTCGTTCGTCACACTGCATGTTCCAGCATATTATATTTGATATTATATTTTTATTTTTTTATCGATCTTAGTCTTTCCGATAAACTTTCCAAAACCTTTTCAAAATGTCAAACTTTGAAAGTCAAAAGCATTTTTTCCACGTATTATTATTTTTTTAGCATATTCTTTATATTATGAATTTGTGTTTTTAACAGAAGGAAGGAAGGGTATAGGCCTTGATACACCTTACTAGTTACCCATCTACGTATGCAAGAAAAGAACTTAGTATGAAGGTGCACTTGTGCACTTTATGGAGTTCAAAACTGAAATTTCAGGTTGTTGGGAGTTTTATATGCTTAAATATTTTTGTCATTTTGTCCACACCCCAATAAATAGCATATTCTCAATGCACTTATAAATTCATCAAAGGCTAAAAAAAGAGAAGAAAATACTAATAAATGTCTACTTGTAGGAACGAAGTTATTTTTACTTTTACTTCAATTATTAAAAAAAAAAACGGCAAGCTCAGTTGCCATGGCAATGGTATCATAATGAATTTAAGAACCATCTCATGTTAACAGCAAAAAATGTACTTAAAATGTTAAAAAAACAAATCAAAAATATTCATAAAACTGCCGTCACCACACTGGTCATCTTTGGAAATCGCGTTAACGATTAACCAAACTGTGTTTAATTTTTTAAAATATTTTGTTTAAAAATTTATATACTAATAATTTTGCGAAAATTGTGTGAAAACTATTGATCCGGAAATGTGATCAGTGCATTGATATTTTACTATTTTAAAGACTTAATTTGGGTGTTATACCTGGAAAAGACTAAGCGCAGCTTCTTCTTGAATAGTTCTCTGTTCTACCGCTAGGGCTCCAATCTCACATAGGTATCTAGCCCCACAGTTTTTTACATCCATCTCCCAGAGAATCTTTAAAAAATAAGCTGTTTGATTTTTTTTTCATTATATACAGTGAGGCACAAAAAACTGTGAATTATGAAGACGACTACAAGGCTCAAGGAACGATTTTAAATAGGCCAACGAGCATGACCTATATTGCAATTGTTCAATTTAAACAGAACAATGTCCTTCTTAGAAGATTTGCAAGATACTGTTAAAACTATTTGCTTTTAATACCATGAAATATACAAAGCCGAAAAATGACATCCACAACAGAAACTATTATAACTATAAGTATTACTAATTATCATCTCCCACTCAGGGTTAAAATATTTAAATAGTGAAAGGAAATGGAATGTTTTTAATAAACAGTTTTGAAATTTATTAAACTTCTTGAAATTTTGCTGAATCTTTTTTAAGCCCAAAAACAAAAAAGAGTTTAAAACAAAGGAAACTAAATGACTAACGTACCTCCTGATCCCTATTCAGTAAAATACTGAGTGCCTGCGCAAGCAAAACTGAAAAAAAAAGAAAAAAACCAAACCTGAACTGCATTGTTTACATCAGTTCCCTCACTGGAAGCTTCTCCAGGAAGAGCTGTTCGTTTCCCTCTAAAGTGGTTATGGTAGTTATATCTCCCTTGACCGTTACTTCTGCTTCTGCTTTGGGATCGACCACGACCTTTATTAAATAAATGATATAATAAAAATTTCTAAAAAATAGAAACATTTCATGAATATGAAATGCCATGCTAGATTCGTTTAATATAGATTTATATAAAAAATGATAAATTTAGGTTTACAATAATGTTATTTCTGCCCAGTAAGAATCTCAAAAAGGAGTTTTTGCCAAAAACTCTTATTTCTTAGTCCCTTTATCTTTACGACCCAAGGTGTCAAAGGTTTACACCATCAGGTTGTAAAGATATAGGGATTATAAAACTTAAATTTGTGGCAACAATTCAGTTCATTTCTCTTCACTGCAGACATATAGAAAAAAATAACAAAACAAATATTGTTTTTCGTTTTTATTTCAAAACTATCAGTTTGCCAGACTTTGTTTTTTTGTAAAACGAATTCCTTATATCTTGTCAATCTGATTGAGTAAACCATTGAAATTTAAAGCTATAACCATGAGCAATTTGATCTATAAAAATTTATGGCTAAAATATCAATGACAAAGGTATCGAGATGGACTGGGACATTGTTTTTTTGGAACATACGAAATTTTTGAGAAGAAACGAAATTTTTCAGAAGAAAAAAAACGAATGCTGGTCGAACGAAATGGATCATTCAGAGAAATAAAAAAATTATCATTTTTATAAACAACCGATTTAAAATTGTTCGAATGAACTTGAAAAAAATTATCCTTTTTAATGATTTAAAGATCTGGAAAAAAAACAATATAGCTTTTTTTTAAAGAACGAAAAATTTTTTGAAGCAAACTGTTTAAAAAACTATAGTTTTTCACTGAAAACCCCATCTTATGAACAAATTTTTGTTGCAATAATAATTGTTAAAAATTAGATTTTACGAAAAGTATTTAGATAACCTCTAGCAGCGTTTACAGCTGCTGCAGCGCCGGCTCCCAGTGCTCCACCAGCCAACACAGCACCACCTAATCCTAGAAAAATTTAAATTATAAAAAAATTCTTCAAAACTAATTTTTTTCATGAAACTCTTGTGCAGGTATTTAAGCAATATAATGGCATATTGCTCTTACTGTTTTTAAACTCACATGGTACCACAACAAAAATCCGCAAAACTCTTTTTCCGTCAAATTAAAAGTGAAGAAAAATTAAAATGTGATCAGAGATAATTGCAATCTAATACTATAATTTGTCCGATCATAACTCGGAAACCCCTGGACCGATTTTCCTCAAATTTTGATTGGGGAACTCGGATACGCCACAGAAATGTTCTGAGCTTGTTTTTGAGATTCTAAGTTAAGTAGGTCGACTTTCTTTTGGAAAAAAGCTTAAATAATAATTTACGACAAAGCGCGGGTAAACGGCGGGACTAACCATGACTGCCCTGGGCAAGCTGAATTCCCAAGCTATAAGATCCCCAAAATGTTGAAGAAATAGATCCGATGTATTGTTAAGTTGTTCAGCGCATTACTAAAAAATTGGAGAAATTTCACCGCTCTAATTCTTATATCTATTTATTGATAGCCTTGCTTAGACCCTAGGTACACTATAACTAAACTGTGAAATTTCCTGATACGATTTTGCGAATTTTCTCCATTTCCATGATTTTTTTTTGAATTTTTAGGATTAGATAGAAATTATACATTTACGCATTTTTCCTTTCCTACACTTTTGATTTTGAGAAGAAAAAAGTTTTGCGGAATTTTTTTTTGTACAAGGCGAGTAAAAAAACATATTTTCCAAAATGAAATTCATTAAAAGTCACACTTTATTTAAATCATCCTTTTCATATATATATGTTAGCGAAGAGCTTTATTATGTTTAGATAACGTGTAATATATACCGGTAAGCGTATCTATATTTATAAAGTTGTAATCTCTGTTTGTCTGTCAAGTTTGTTTGTTCGATCATAAATCAGGACTCTCTTGACCGATTTGCTTCAAACTTTCATTAGGGAACTCGGGAAAACCACAGGAATGTTCTTATCTGGGTTTTGAGGCTCTAAATTCAGTAAGTCAATGCGTTTTCAGAATCGGTTTTTTTAATTACTAAATAACGACGACGAAAAATGTAAACAAAACTCTACAGTTAACTAATTAGTTGTTTAGGAACCGGTTGAGAAAATAATATTAATCTTATCATCGAAAATAAGTAATCTTGTTCAATTATTAGTTTCTATTTCTGGAATTATTATTGAAAAGACGACATTTGAAGAATTTGAAGAAATCTGCGAATAAATTCAAAGAAAATAAGAAATTCAATATTATGATGAAAACGAAATAATGCATTCTCGCATTGATTTATTGACAAATTCCTTTTGAGAAATATTTTCCTAACCATCTAATTAGATTACTGTATGATTTTTACTTTATTCTTCGTCGTCGTTATTTAGTAATTTAAAAATACCGATTCTGAAAACGTATCCACCCCCAAAGTAGGAGTTTTGAACGTCGAATTCGCGCTCAAACTCAGGATTTACAGATCTTTAAAAAGTTTTATGTGTCTCAAGTGAATCCTAAAGAAGCTTTCCACAACACTGTATATCAGTTTAACTACCTTACATAGCCTGTCTGTCCCTTTAAGTAGTTAAAATTTGTTTAAATAATTTAGCTTCGGAACTAGAATTGATGAGAACCATTTCATTTCAATGCTTGTTGTAATTTCAATCTTCGCTGGGACCATGAGGCTTGGAAATTTGGGGGAATTGCATTGTACCAAGCCATACTTGACTCTCAGGTCTTTTTTCTGGGTGGCTTTACAATCATAGAACAGAGAATAGCTGGGGTTAAAAGTCTTGAAGGTAAAATTAGAAAGTAAGGCGTTGGGACACTTTAAAGACGACGCAGTCTTAAACATTTATGCAACTTTTTTCATAGCAATCTGGATCTAAGTGATCCAGTAAGGTCATGAATAAATTTATAGATTTTAATTAAATCCGTGAACTTTGTTTTAAATTCTGGGGACAAAACCATTTTGATGCCGAATTTAAAGAATTTTTGCCGCGTCTTAGATTTGAGACGCGGCTTAAACTTGGTTTGTTTCGAGATTTGAGCCGGCTCTCAAATGGAACCGGTTTTTTGGCGGTTTAGCGACGCGGTTTAAATTCTTAAATTTCGTTATCTGAATTCAAGATAATTTCTATTTACCTGCAACGCCTAGAGCTGTGGCTTGGGCAGCAGTTAAAGTTAGACCAAATAATGTCTGATAATTGAATAGAGCAATTTTTCAAAATGATTATAATTTCGAGAATGTTAATCATGAGTAAAATGACAAAACTTGAAGTTCCGATCGTGCAAGGAATTTGTTCAATTTTGTAAAAAGCGGGACAAATTTTTTATTTTCCAATCCCTTTACAAACTGATGGTATGATTTTTATATTTCGAATTCATAAGCTCGTTTGATCTCGTAAAATTCGTATTTTGAATTCAACAACATCAGTTTGCAAAGTTATTAGGACGCAAAAATTATAGTTTGGGCCCACAATTTTGAAACGAACGTTAAAATCTTTCAAACGAATTTGAAAAAAAAACTATATTTTTGTTTACTGAACCAACGAATTGTTTAAAATATTTTGTCTAAAAAGCGTCGTTTTTTTAATGAACGAACATACGATATTTGGAACAATATTTTTTAAAAACGATTGTTTTTTGATTGCTGAACAAACTATTTTTTATGACAAACTTTTGAAAAAACGATCGGTTTTTTAAATCAATGAAATTTTATTGAATAAATGATTTTACTGAATGAATGATTTTACTGAACGATCGTTCACTAATAAAACGAAAATGGAAAATTAACGATATTTTCGAGAAAGAACAATCAATATTTTTGAACGATTGGAAAAAACTAACGAAATGGGTCGTTCACGAATGATGAATGATGAACGAACGAGATGAAAATACTAATCGCGCCCATCTATACCCATCCCCTTCTTGTCTTTTCCCAACCCTTATTTCTTTAAGAATCGCTCTTTCCAATAAACCTGTGAGTCGGTTAGCAGAGCCAGGCTCAAGCAAAGAGCGAGAGGGAAAAAGATTTTCATGATTCCTAAACAAAGAAAATTAGATTTTGAAAGAATTTTTGGATTTTATATTTGATATTTGATATTCTGATTTCAAGATGAAAAACTTACATATATTTGAACTATAAACAAAATTTGTGCTTGAGTTACTTGCAGTCGTACTCATGTTACGCCTAATTACACGTAACAATTTCTTTTCCTTATGCAGGAGCATACGAAAGAAAGTCTGGTTTCGCGTAATTAAGGTGTAATTGGCCAATTAGGGATGTTCACGTTTTCATTTTTTTGAAATACAATCGTTTCGTTGTGAAACGACGACAAAAAACGTTTTTTTAAAGTTTCTTTCTTTAAATGGTCGTTTTTGAAACTTTCGTTTTTATAGAACTCGTTGCTTCGTTTTCGATCGTTAACGACGACCCTTCGTTAACGATCGTTAACGAAGAAGTTTTAGCTCCCTCTCAACTGTTTAACTTCATGTAAGGCGACATTCAATAAAGTTACATGTAATTTTTTCTTTCAAAAACGACCATTTTTATGAAGTTAGTCGTCTCGTTAACGATCGTTAAAGGCAACTCTTTGTTAATTATTGTTAACGACGACCCTTCGTTAACGATCGTTAACATAATTGCCAATAAAATTTGTTTTTTCAAAAGCGATCGTTTTTTAAAAACAATATAAAAACGGTCGCAAATTGTTTTTTTTAAAAACGATCGTTTTCAAAAGAGATCGTTATTTGTTTTCTAAAAGTTCAATTTAATCGCGTTTTGGTTTGGTATTCAACAATCTTTCAACTTTCAATTTCTAATTTAAACACATATGCCGACAAAAAATATTAAAGAAAAAAAGGCGAAAAAGTTATAATTAATAAGTCAAACTGTGATTGAAATTAACAGCTAGCTGGAATGAGGACCGAACTGTTAAATCCGCGTAATGTAGAAACCCCCCAATTGTTCACCTGTAAATTGGAAAGCCGGAAATAAACTGATGAGAGGAAACTTCATAGCTTCCTTTTTATATGCTCAAGAAAACCATGACTAAGTTTTTAGTTTTCTAATCAGATGATTTCATAATGATTATTGGGACAAAAATTAACCAATCACGTTTAAAGGGAATGTAAGCGTAATTTCAAGTGATTCTCCAGGCAAAAAGTACAATTGCCTAATTCACAGTGGTTCCATTGAAAACTTAATCTGGTCAAACATGTGGAAAACCGTTTTTCTAACTCTTTTTAAATCAAATTATGGTTTCAAGGATACCGTTGTAAATCGGGCATTGCTATCTTTAAATGGAGGGTCACTTAATATTACGCTTACATTCTCTTTAATAGAGAAATCATCGATGAGGAACATATTTAACGAAGCTTGAATTAACAAGTGCTTTCCAAAATACCGTGATCACAATGACATTCATAAAATCTTAAATATCAAAGAACAGCAGTGTACACTTTTTTCTTCACAATGGTGGATTTGGTGGATTAGAGGAGGAGGGGCGTCAAGGGGGGGCAGTTTAACTTTATAGTGTTTTAACTAGGTGCCCCCCCCCCCACCTATAGTTAAAATACTCCAAAGTTTAACTATTTGTGGGAGGGGGAGTAGTTTGACTAGGAGGAGGGATGGGGAGTTGTTTAAAGGGGGAGTAGTTTGACTAAGAGGAGGTAGGGGGAGTAGTTTAACTAACCAGGTGGCGAGTGCAAATTTTCTTTGGAAAGAAAGCAATAGATCAGTTTAGTTGTTGTAACATAAAGTATCTAAAAACCGAGAAAATTTTATATTTTTTAATCATTTGATCATGCAATCTTGCAGGATCTTGAAAGGATCGCTACTGTAACCCCCTTTATTTCATGGAACTAAATAAAACTAAATTCTAGTTAACAAATTTACGGAAGATAGTTCATAGTTAATACATATTAAAAATAATTTCTAATAAAATTGGTGGATTTTAGTTTCAGAAAATATGTATAAAATACATATGGTTGGATTCAAACTAAACAAAAACATTGTAAAAGCTGAAGTATTTTGAATTTTTAATAATTATAAAATCTTTTTCGATTATGATTATAACTTACTAGCTGTTATAGGCTTTCCTAAGAGCTATACAATAATGAAATCCAATGTCTGGAAGTAGGTCTAAATACAGATTTAGTCTGGTATAATTATTTTTTTTCTTCTTTTTAACAGGTATAATAGATAATATAATAAATGGCAGTGCAGTATCATTAACACGTGACTCCGTTTGTATCATTTGTATCATTTGACCAGTGCAGTACTGCACTGCTATTTGTGGGAGTTCTAGTCACATAATATGGATGTCCAAATATTATTATCAATTAAATCTATAAAAAATGAAAAATGACTAAATTCAAATAATAATAGAAGAAACCCTAAGTTTATTAGACTCCTCTGGGATATCATCGTTTTTGAAATAGTCGTGTACTTGTTGAATATGATCCGTTTAAACCTACTATTTTTATACAAAATTTTATGTAAATAGATTTTCTTATAAATTTTACTCAGTTTTATATCCATTTCTCGTGACAGGAACATTACATGAGTCTCGATCAACTACTGAAATACTTAGGTTTTAGCCTATACCCCATTGCATTTTTCCTTTACAGTCCCTTTGAAGAGTTTCAGATCGTCTTTGCAGTCTCATTCTTTGTAGATTCCTTTAGACCAAGAATGGAAAAAGCCAATATTCTTCATGAAAAACTCCAAAGTAAAGATAATAATTTTGTTTTTACCAATTTCGAGAATATTGATATCTCAACCATGATTATATTTTTATATAGATACGGACTAATAACACTATTTCTATTTTCTGTCTTTTTTGGTTTTTATCATAATATTGTACCATTTTATTTTTGTGTATTAAATAAATCTAAAATAATAATATAAATATCATGTTGTATAAGGTAAAAATACCGGTCTGCTGTCTCTAGGTGACGGCTGTATCATGAAATAATATTGTCATGGTTGGCTACACTTCAAGTTTTGTTGCGCAGTAGTTTCTAGAAGTGTGGGTAGGTTTATGTATTGAATTAAAGATTTGGAATAATTTTCTCTGTGAGGGGGAGAAGGCGACTCCATCAAGAGGGAAGGAGGGCGCACATAATTTCATTAGAAAGGAATCATTCATTTGGCGTACCGTCCCGGTTTCCCTTTCATAGGATTCATAGTCTGTAATTGTAATGTACAGCTTGCTCTACTGTATAAAAGTCAGTCCGCAACTATAAATTAACCGTCGAGTTTACGGTGGGGCCCGGTGGGGCTCCTCATGGATTAACCGTCGGTTTACGGTGGGGCCCGGGGGAGTTCCTCATGGATTAACCGTCGAGTTTACGGTAGGGACCGGGGGGGCTCCTCATGGATTAACCGTCGAGTTTACGGTGGGGCCCAGGGGGGCTCCTCATGGATTAACTGTCGAGTTTACGGTGGGGCCCGGGGGGGCTCCTCATGGATTAACTGTCGAGTTTACGGTGGGGCCCGGGTGGGCTCCTCATGGATTAAAAGAAGGGCTACACATTAGACAATATAGAGGGAGGGAGAGAGGGCATCTTTCCTTAGATGGAGGAAGGGAAACTCCATTAAGAAGGACAGAGGACGACTCTACATTATATATAGGGAGGGGTGGAGGGTAACTCCACAAAGAGGGAGGGAGGGCGACTCCACGTAAAGGGAGGGGTAAAAATTCAATAAAGAGGGAGGGAGGGTGACTGCATAGTCCATATAGAGGGAGGCAGAACGACTCCACAAAGAGGAAGATAGGGAAACTTAATATAGAGGTAGGGAAAATGGCTTCACAAGTACGTATGGGAGGGAGGGCGTCTTGACTGTAATCCGTTCAAAAAATCTCTACTGTAAAACTAAACAATGTTTCTGTTTCAATCTTAAATTCAAAAGAATACTCGATAGTACAAAATTAAGTAACAAGAATTGATTGAGCCAAGCTAACTAGTTTAGTTCCTTCCTCTTTCATGCATAATTTTATATCTCAGTAAAACTTCTCAAGGTAAAAAGTAGAATTGTGTGTTTGACACATTTTAGTGCATGTTGGTTCAAGAACTAAATGTTTGATTAAAAAATATAAAACATTGTAAAATTGTTAGCTTTTGGTAAATAAGAATTAAGCTTTATTTTAATCTGCAGTTTAAGTTTCATGTTTAGGAAAGGTGTCCCCATAAATTTGCATTCAGGTATTGGGTTCTCAGGGAAAATGTTAGTTCAATTTCTACAAGGTGTCATTAAAAAGCTCTATATTTTAACTCATAGTTTTCTTTTTTGACCAAAATTTGGATCCACAATCATTATTTGTTGAACTTAAGTAAGCTAAAAAAATCGCATTTAAAAATTAAAAAAAAAAAAAGCTTGCTTTAATATTCTAACTTTATGACTGAAAAAGAAAAAAATAATTCCAATCGTAATTTTAATGTTACACTTTGCAATAATTACAAATTCTATTATTAGATTGAAAAATAATATTTTAAAAAAATGATTGGAAATGTTTCCACAATTCTGGGGTTTTCATTGATGATGTTTCTCAGTTCAGTTGAAGGGAGATCTACATCTATGCATTCAAACCCTCCGAGATCAGGTATTAAATTCTTAGTAAGGAACTTTTTTGAACTTTTTGGAACTTTTTGGAACTTTTTGCAAGAATGTTCATGGAGTCTTTCAGCAAGTGTTTTAAAAGTTTCTACAATAAAAAAGTAAAAACAAATGAAAAATTGTTATTTGTTACTCTCAAAATATATTTTTTTTTAAGTTTAAATGTATAATTTTTGTCACAGGGTGATTCTTAGTTTTGTAAACGAATTGTTCAATAGTTTGGAACAGGGGGTAAAAGTAAGTCCTGTAGTTGTTTGGATCGTTGTTTGCAGATATCTTCTACCAGGGTCAAAGTTTGACAAAGTTTAAAAAAAAAAAAACAATATTTAGAATAAATAATTGTAAACACATTCGCTGTCATTAGATTATATCAAATTTTGACACTTAACGAAATTATAGACATAAAACTACCCGAAATCAAACCAATTAATGGCACATAACTAAGATGGAATACGAGTAAATGGTCATAAATGCCTATCTTTTTTATCTATGTATTAACTACAACTAGCCTGGGAACCCAGCTTTGTCTTGATTTTTTCCTATAAAAGTCAACTCACTCAACTTAGAATTTAACCAAGCTTCGAATATTTTCGTGATTCTCCCGAGTTCCTCAATCAAAATTTGAGGCGAATCGGTCAAAAGGGTTCATGAGTTATGATCGAACATACAAACAGAGATTATTACTTTATATATATAGATAGAAATGAAAGGGTCTGGAAAAATGTTTTCTTTTGAAAATAAGAAAGGGAAATATTTGAGGTTGATTTAACTTTAATCAGCCAAGCCACGCCCACAAGGCATAGAAGGGTTTAATTAGCAGAAATAGACTTAGATGTCGTATTGTATTTTCGCATTCGCAAAAGAATTCCATACTACAACTTAACCCAGAACTATCTAAAGAATTTATCAAACGTCATCTTGCCAATTCTTGGGGTCTGAAATGATTAACGCCCTTTAGTACCTAAATCTCAGTAATTAAAAAAATAGCCATGAAATATACAGGAACAGTTTTAAAGAGTTCAATATAATTATTTAATGAAAAAAAAACTAAATATATGTAGCATTCCATTATCAGTATGGTTTAGAAGACGACAATTTATAAATTCTTTTGGTGTTGCCAAAACTGATTAATTTTAGGACAGAACTTATTAGCACGAGAAAGAAGACAGGAACCGGAAATAGATTTGCAGACTATTGTAGAGGTAACATTTTAATAATGATAATAGTTATTTCCAATCATACATATTTATTTTGCCCTGAGCTGAAAACTTTAGAACTCTGGATATCGAGATCAATGCTTTTTTGTTAATATTAAGATTATTTTAATCTTATGTTTGTAACCAGGAAAATTCAACCAATCAAGAGTGGTGTATGCAGATGCCCAAACAGTCAATTATAATTCGGGAAATTTAGAATTTTGCGCGCCATTTAATGAGAGAACTCTTATTGGTTGGAATCCAGTAAAAAAATCCAAAATAATGGAAAAAGCGCGGATTAAGCAGAAATGAAACAGTGGATATTCAGTTTTAGAAGAAAGTCGATCGTTTTGTAGGTTCGACTATATTAAAATTGATTAAAAACCACTCTGATTTTCATATTACATACATTTTCACATTATACATCCCTGCAAACATTAACAGACCTCATATAATCTTAATAAATGACAAGAAAAGCGGTTTGCTTTGGAACAAACTCAAACATACAATTAGTATTGATGTAAAGTCGTCTTCCTATTTCAGAGTTTTCTAAAATATTAAATATAAATAAATATATTAATATATTAGGTTCTGGCCGAGATGGACGGAAATGATTGTGGAAAAAGATATTTGTGTGAAGTTGGAACTATTCCCCAGGAAATGAGAAACAAACAAGAAAAAGCAACAATGGATCTTTTCCAGGTTTTTAACATTCTCTAGATTACTAGTTCTAGCTCTAAAAATCGACATTTTTAATTATTCTCAAATTTTCGCGGATTTTTCTATTTCAACTGAGCCCGCGGTTTAAAACCTTTGGCTCGAGCCGTAATTCCTTAAACCCGCCTTTAAGATCCAACTCTGACGACAGCTTGTGTCACTTGATTGACAGCTGAAAGATCTTTGGCTCGACTTGGAGTTAGGCCCAATGAAAATAAAACCGACCTTGGTTGGTCTTCGTAGAGAATGCGCCGATTCCTTCCATGAAAACCGGTTTCAAACTCAACTCTTTGGAAAATTCGATGCAGCTTGAATCCGAAACCTCAAGCCGTAAAGCCCAACGACAGCCTAGACCCAATCGCCGTATTTTCCCGAGTTTTTTTAAATCACGGGCTCTGGCGCATTAATAAATGTCAATTGAATCATAAAAAGTGATTTTGCAAAAAAATCATTATTTTCACAGATATGTCTCTGACAATGACTACTAATTTTGACCCTCAGCTACTGATTTTAGTTTAACGGACATTCTAAATAGTTGCCAAAAAAGATCTTCTTAATATGGTTCAATTCAGACTTGCATCTTTGTATAACAACAAATGTTATGCACTTTTAAAGTTTGAGAAACTTTGCAAGATGTATAAAAAATGTATTTGCTATTAAATTGCAACATTCTATCGGACATTTTTTGAAGATTTTAATCATTTTCAAAAGAGAAAAAAAACTGTTCGGAACTGAGATGCTGACATTTATTGGAAAAAGCTAACACGCATCAGAGGATTCTTGAAATTTCAATCGGGATTCTTGAACAGAGGCGTATTCAGGGGGGGGGGCTATTGGGGCTAAACCTCCCTTGGACCAGTTAAATCTATTGATTTCAGGGGGTTTTCATGCCCAACGGGTGCTGAGCCCCCCCTGGAAAAAAATGTAAGCCCCCCCTGGACAAATTCCTGAATACGCCCCTGCTCTTGAATAAGATTGGTGATATGTATTTCCCAATTGTGTCATTTCCCAATGCGGATAGGTTAGGCCTTCTAAGGCACCACGGGCTGCAATGAGGGCCGAGTGCTGCGGCTAGAATGGAATAAAAGTGCGAGCGCTGTGGCTGGAACAGACTTGGGAAATTGCACATTTGGGAAGTTTCCACTAGGGAAAATACCCTTGGGAAGTTGCCACTTTGGAAAATGCTATTGGGAAAGTATGCTTAACATCAATAAGTTTTGCTATGGATCATACAAAACTTCAGTATGTCCATAACATCGGAAAGATTTGCAGATATTTTCAATGTCAAAGATTCAAAATCAGGCTATTGCGTACACTAGTTTTTTCAGAGATATCTTAAGATTTATTTTCTTTTTAGTTTTAACTGATAAAAAACACAAGAATAAAAAAATTAGCAAAATCCTTAATTTTAAATTTGAAAATTTGATACAGGGTAAAGGTGTCGCTGACTCTGTAGAAATGGCTCAATTCCGAAGTGCAGCAAATTACGGGGTTGTAGCTAAAGCTCCTCAGCTCTGTGTTCACAGGTAAAAGAATTCTAAAACTTAGTAAAAATGGTGCTCTGTTGGTTTACATTTGTCACTTCATAGATTTGATAAAATTGAAAGATATGTAGATTGTTTTATAGTGATAACCAGAAAACTGTAGAATAGGAAGACGACATTACAACAAAACTAAAGTGTATTTGATTTTATTAAATCACATATTAAGTGAAATGAGCCTGCAGTCACACTTTACATTTGCTGTGTCTCATGTTCATGGGACTATTAAGAGTCATAACTTGAGTCTAAAAGTCGACTTCCAATTCGTTAGAATTGTTAGAAACATATATTGGATTCAAAAATAAATGTTGCCACTAAAATGTGTAAGGTGAATATGATGATAAATACTTTGTCATTAGTTACCTATCAAAGATTAACGACGGTTTTAAAGGGACTGTAAGCTTGATTTCAAGTGACCCTACATTGCAAAGATGGCAATGCCTGCTTTACTTTAAAGCGTTTCTTTCCGATAAGAAGCAATAGAGAAATTATTTAACTAATGTAAAGTGGGACACCGGCTAACTGCATGTAGTGTTGTTAGTCGTTTGATAAGTTTGCTTTAAAAAAAAAATTTAGCAGCGCTTGAAGTGTTTTCAGTTTAAAGTTACTTTATCCAACTTTGCAAGGAAACGACCGTTTTAACACGTTCAATTTTTGCATATACTTTCTCTTAGGTATGAGGCATCACATAGATTCCGCCTGTTTATATAAAAAGTTTATCAAGTGTAGCAACGCAACGCCTTGGCTTTATTTTTAACCGCTCTAACTCACTTTTGCTTTTCTGTAGCCCTTTACATGTACGCTTTAGCACTTTATAAAGGCACTTATTTTTAGCTTTGGTTTTTGGTAATTTAGTAATTGGCAAAATTCTTATCGATTTTTACTTAAGGGCTTGCAACCTTTAAAGGGAGTGACCGGTATGGTAGTTGAACTGAGAATGTAGTATTGTGGAGTAATTTTATAAGGATACATAAAACGTTTTAGTGATGTATATTTACTGAATTTGAGCGAGTCGAGGTTAAAAGCATTCAATTGGTCAGTTACGTTTTGGGAATCGTTATTTTTAAATTATTAAATAACGACGACGAAAAATGTATCAAAAATTCGACAGTAACCTAATTAGATGTTTAGGAACATATTTCTCAATAGAAATTCGTTAATAAATCAATGTTAGAATCAATTATTTCTTTTTCATCATTATTTTGAATTTCTTATTCTTTACGAATTTTTTCGCAGATTTCTACAAATTCTTCAAATGTCGTCTTTTCAATAAAAAATTCAGAAAATCCACAAAAAATGTTTGTGAACAATGAGAGATTACAAAAAATAATAACTGAATAAGATTACTTATTTTTGACTTGAACTTGTTCCTAAGCAACTAATTAGTATCTAGGCAAAAAAAAAAAAAACGCCACGTTTTCGCTTAATGTTTAGATATAAGAATTGTGCACTTGGAAAACAGCCTGTTCTCCAAACACTACTGGCCGAGGGGAGAGATTTAGACACAAATCTTGTATAATTATTCACATGATCTGACAAATTTCTTTAAATGTCCAACAGATTGAGAGCAAGTATAAAATGGCTATTTTTTAAAGATAATTTGAATGATATTACTAAACGTCCAAAAACAAAACACTTAAAATCTCCAATAAGCAATTGATAACGGTCTGTTATATATTTTCATCAGACACGTAAAATGTAAAAATTTTCAGTGCAATGAAATATTAAATTATAATTAACTAAAAGAATTGAGTTTTTGCCACAAATTCTGATTTTCTAATCTTTGCAACCCAATGTCGTAAACCTGAGATATTTAAAACTATGAATTCTGTTAGATCAAATGTTATAAGTCTGAAAAATTAAATCAGGTTGCAAAGATATAGAATTAGAACATTTGAGTTTGTGTCAAAGACTCGATTCCTTTCATCAAACATGCAAGCTATCATGCGTTAATGTTATGAATGTGTAACTTAAAATTAGTTGATATTTTTTTATTTCAGGGCTCTCCGTTTTCTTTTTTAAATTTTAGATATATTATTCTTATATTTGCTAATGAAATGCAATATAATTAAATTATTAAATGATTTAAAAAAGGGTAATGATAAAAAACAACCTCTCTTATTTTGGTGAAGAGGTGCATATATGATAAACAAAATTAACGAAGCCAAAATAGTTTTCCAATGTGATGCATAAAATGAATATTAAAAATGCTGACTCAGGGCATTTTATGTAAAAAATTAATAAAAATATAGAATTTTTACATTATGTAGTTTTCAACGTTAATTGACAGAGAAGAAAGTGAAGTACAGTGACAACCAGAAGCGGATTAAAACTGTCGTCTTTGTACATTATTCTAGTGAACGGCTTTGCAAAAAATTGTGTAATTTTTAAAAATGATGATTTATATATCCATCAATATATCTCATTTTACCCTCTAGTCCCATGTATCCGAAAAGCGAGAAACCCTGATATTTACGTCCCAAAGCTGGGTTGTTTTTACAACAAAATCTGATTTTTTAATCCCAATCTTTGTAAATCAATGTCGTAGACATTTGATATTTCAAACCAAAAAGTCTGTTTGATCAAAAGGTCTATAAGTAAAGGTCAACGCCTTCATGTTTAAAGATATGAATTAGAAAGTTAAGTTTGAGTTTCTGGCAAAAATTGCCTTATTTGCGTGGATCGAGATTCACTTAAAATTGTGACGACATTGGAATGTTTTTATATTTTAGAAAATTAATTTGAATGCCAGGTTGTATTAAACAGTTGCACAAACTCTCAGCTTTCCAAATTGCGGTCAATTATGATTTAAAAATATCGGGATTAGGGGAATATGGTCAATTCTCAGATTTTCGCCCAGATTGAAGACGATTTAAAAGTGTTTTTTAACGAAGAAAATTTGAATACGGATGGGAGTTTGACAAATGTACAAAATGTTAAATAATATTGCTTAATATATTAACCTGAAGTGCCAACCTCAAGATAGATTTTTTCTGAATAAATGCTATTTTATCAAATTCTTTAAACAATTTAAGTCTTGAACTCGGAAAGTCGCCATTTATAATCGTTCTCAAAATTTCGCGGATTTTTCTGTTTAAATTGGTGCATTACCAAAAATAATAAACTACCGACATTTTTTTCCGGCAATATTTTTCAATCAGCCATGAACCTTCCCTGCGGACAGACAGACAAGCAAAGTATAAATATATTGAAAGAAGATAGATGAATACAAGTAAAATCGTAATTTATTATCCTTAATGTACTATGGTCAATTTTCGACAGACGCATTGAATAGTCTTCCGCGGCACCGATATACTCGAAAGATAGTCCGAGTTCCGACCCTTAATTCCGAGAATTGAGGTAGGTAAAATAAAACTCCTAGGTATGGTGTTTTTTTTTTCAATATTTTTTGCAAATTTTAAATTTTTTTCGGTGTAACAATGGCTCAAAAAAAGATCCGCGAACCTTTTTTTCCTATCAAAAACAAAAGTTCAGAAAAGCAAAAATGTGTATATTAATTATTTCTATAAAAATCTTTTTTTAAAACTAAATATTTATACTTTCCGTTTCTTGTTAACTGTTTACAATTTTGTTACATAATTGGTATGACATGTATATCACATGAATCACATTAACTGAGTTACGGAAATCAATTTTTAGTAAAATTAAGTACTGTGTATATTAAGTTAGGGTATAAAAATTAACATCACGGATCTATTTATTCTGTTTACGCTTGTAGGCGTTTGCATGTTTGAAGAATATGAAGAAAATCGCATGTTCAGAAACACATTTTAAGACATGATAATTTGTAATCTGAAATTTTATAAAGATTGAATCACAGGATCACAGAAAATTCGCAAAAATGTTAAAAGAAAATTCGCAATTTTCAGTTCTGGTCTAATTTTTATGGAAAAGTTATTTAAATTCTCTAGTTTCTTTCTTCTATATATAAATTTGGCTTGTCTTGGTGTCTGTTTGTTTGTTTGTATCCAATAAACGTCAAAACGGCTGAACCGATCGGGCCCAAAATTTTTTGTGGGGCATCACTTGACCACAGGGAAGGTTTATGAATGATAAAAAAAATGTTTTATAAAGGTTTTTAATTTTGTAAAAAAAATTTAAATTCTTGAAAATCCGCGAATTTTATTTTAAAAATCCCCAAACTTTTTTCTTCTTTGTTTTAAAATGTAAATGAAAAGAACATGTTCACAATTTAAATAGAAGATGGGCGCGAAGCGCTCTAAAAGCCTAGTCTTAGTATATTCTAAAGTTATAAATATACGCTTTTCAGTTGAAACCTGAAGAGCCATCGAAAAACAACTTTTCCTTAAAAATTTGGCTAGAACTGAAAGTTGCAAATTTTCTCATCACAATTTTGCGAATTTTCTGTAATTCAATCTTATAAGATTATAAATTTCGATTGAAATAATTTATATTCACATTTTTGCTTTTCTGAACTTTTGATTTTAGAGAAGAAAAATTAAAATCAAAATTAAATATTAAAAAAACAAACCAGGAGAGTTGCACAAAACCAGGCGTCGCTAATCACACTTTTTTTACTCACCCCGTATGTGTAATGATTATGAAAATTTATTCAAAGTAACTGGACCCTGCACATGGAAACACAATTTTGATTAAATGACCCCTCCGCCCCAGCTTCTCTTTTTCTTGTCAATTTTTCACATAATTTCTTCATAGTCGTAAAACTTGCAAATCACCAACGGGCCTCATATTTAGGAACCGGAAGATGAGAGGCTTTGTTTGGTTTCCTCGTCATTTCCGTTGTTACAGTTCTTTAACTTTTAATTTACAAGAAGGGTGTCCCAATAAACATGGGATTTAAGTGAAAACTTTTATATAGTCTTCGATCCATAAACACAGTTATTGCAGTATTCCAGTTTGAAAATCTAAAATCAAAATCTGGTTAACTTTTTGTGTATCTTCAAAATTGACGGAAATATTGTCTTGTAAAAATTTCAATTTATAGTTACTTGATACCTAATATTTTCGTCAATTTTTAAAACACAAAAAAGGTTAACCGCTTTATGAAAAGCTCGTAAGACGTACAGCCACCAGGGGGCGGAAACGTCATGTGTGTGTGTCTGTACCAAAAGAGTGTGTGTCAGTTTACTGCATACACTTTTATAATTTCTTTGCCATGTATTAAATATCAAAAATCAAAGACGACTTTCAAGTCAATTCCCATATTCATTAGGACACCATTTATAAAAAATGTCTAATTTGTTTTAACAATAAATTCCCGCAAATAAATCAGAAAAAAGAGAGGCACAGTTACATATTTATTAAAAAGCATCAATTACAAATTCTCAATCCAATAAAATAATTTGCTCCACAGTAAAAAAATGGTCCAAGTCTGACATTTAAAAGTTTTCAGCAGGTATGGTGTACAGTTGTACACTATACAATGTGTAAAAAGCCAGTACAAAAATATATTTTTAAAAACTAGATTCTCTGATATGATTTGCGCTGAATACTAAATCTAATAAGTCTTCTGCAGTTTCTGAGAGAAATAAGTAGTGACCGGAGATAAGTGAGTAGAGAATAGAGATCTGCAAAAGGCTTGTATATGCGACATTTTAAACGTACTCCAGTACGCAACAAATTAGCAGACATCTACCTTCAGGGATATTTATGGATCATTTGGATATGAAAAACAAAACCTTTAAAATAGATTAAATTCATAAATTTTTTGTTTTCTGTTAACAGTTAAGAGTATTTCTTTAAAACCGGACCCCTGATTGGGTATTATATGTAACAATTGGCGGTTAGATGGCAGCAACTAAACTCGTTATAGAAATAAAGATTGCCGTGACGGTACGACTTTAGGCCTACTCAGCCCAGCCCAGAAATAAGTCTGTATATATCTATACCCGATTCGTTAAACATTTTCTAGCTGTGATTTAGCTGCGATTTCCCAGGCCAGCTAGGCGAGGAAGTCACAGCTAAAGCATAGCTAGAAAATGTCTAACGAATCGGACACTAGTCTGTGGTGGTGATAGATTGTTTACATTCCGCCCAGGAACTGCAGTACACTTAAAGATATGGGTATTCCAAGCATTGTTTTGCTTACAAATATCAAACATATAAATGATTTCATTAACACTTTAACTGCGGTGGTAGGCGAATAAAACATTAAAATGAAGACGACGTTTTTATTTAAAATTAAATTTTCAACAAGGTTTTTTCGAGTTACAAGTTTACAGGTAATTAAAGATAAGCTTTCTTAATTGAAAGCTTATCTTTGTTTCCATGTTTTGTGTATTCATGCTGTGTAAAGCTTCCATTTTGGACACCAAAAGTCGTCTTCACTATATTAATATAATCCCCTACCACAGTATTTAACTAAAAAGGGATACATTTTGAGTTGCAGCGATGTTAATATATTTATTATGACTAACAAAAGGGACTATCGACTTTAATTCACGCGATCCTTCATGTGTAGAGTGGCATTTACGATTCAAGAAGGTACCCTTTAAACTGAGATTTCATTTTTACCATCTAAAAATTGATAATTTTTAATTGCTGGTTCTTTATTTAAATGACTTGAGGATTTATCCTGTAGAAACAATGAAGTAAACAATCAGAATTACACAATTTCTGATGTAGAAAAACTCAAGTACCTTCCTCATTGTTCATGAGATTATGTTAAAAACGGCACTTTGGTGAATTGGACACGTAGGGTAACCCCTTTAAATACCAAATCAGATCTTTACATTTCAAAGAGGCCGCAGAGTGACTGCGTGGGTTACAGGCATTCGGCTGTTCAGGTAAAAAATCCTTTTTTGTTATTATTGAAGAACCACACAAGTATCTTTCAATAAAAAATAACCTTTAAAATCCAATAAATTAATTTAATCATGACTCTGTTAAAAACTAAACTTTATTTAACAACTTAAAATAAAAGGTTCCTTGACTAGATTAATCGATGTAAATAATTTTTAATTTCCAATTGATTGAAATGACTTAAACTACAAAAAACTGATCGTTAATATATAAATTTGATAAGAACCCAATCAAAAACCATTCGAAAGCTCGATTCTTTTTTACCAAACTCTAATTTTTGAACCTATAAGAAGCTTGGGAACTATAATGACTTAGTTTTGTGGGCATTTTTTTTATCGGAATAATATCCTTCATTTTTCAGTGTCTTCCAGTGTTTCGTAATCCTATCCACAGAAGTAGAAGCCAATACAAACTTTCCACTACAGGATACAACACTAAAATAGAGAAATATTAAAAAAAAAAACGAAAAAAATTTGTTTAACTTTTTATTACATTTTTTTCCTTTTTTCCTCCTCGTGGTCCTATAGGATGCTCGGGGCCTGGTGCACCCTAAAAATAAGTAAAATAAAAACAATCAAAATAATGATTTTTTAAAAAAAAATTCTGGAAGATTTTGGGGGTCAAGTCATCTTAAGTTACCCGACCCCTTTTTTTCTTTTCAAAATTTCAGGTGTCAAAAACGATTTCCCCGTGACCTTATCGAAAATCAAATTTGGTTTTGGAAAGGTATGAGGAGTGGGAGAAGGCAGGCGGCCATGAGCCACCACTATTTCCCCTTCCGTACCACATATTAGCTTTTTCTCTCTTGTAAAACAGTTTAAGAATTCAATAAATAAATAAATAAATAAATAAAAGATAAACCATCATTCCGTGGAAATCAAGGCCGAGACCCCATCAAAAATAACCACCAAAGGATGGAAATTAATGTATATCCGATTATGACATAAGTCTAGTGTGATCGAGACATCGAGGTCTAGGCCAGTGACAGAAGTCACCTCCCCACTGCACACAAACAGCGCTTGGACTAGTACAATGTATTTATCTTAAGTATAATTAAAAAAATGGTTTGAGTTGTGCTGTTTTGCATGACGCGGCTGGATTTTTTAAAATCACACTTTAAAGGCCCTAAATATAACATTTAAAAAAGTAGTTTTGCCCGGAAGAGTCGAATATGGTGGTACGGAAGGGGAAATGGTGGTGGCTCATGGCTGCCGGAAGAGAAAAAAGATTATATTAATCTGCAGATTAACAAAAAGCTGAGATTAAGTATTGATTTCGATATCCACAACCTAAAGTTTTCATCTTAGAAGGAACAAAAATATTACTTGTGGACCCTGTGCACTTCTTTCATCTTCTTGGGCAGCGGCATTCTCAGCTTCTTGGAGACGTGCAGCTAGCTCACCACTGAACAGATAAACGGTGTCTTATTAAACTATAGAAATTATAGTTAAGAGAACTGACAGATTCTCGTGTATCTTTGATACATATATATAATATATAATAAATATTGGGTCACATGATATTATGTAAACTTGCAATACATTGTACACTATTAATTATCTATGTTTGTAAACTTCTACGTAAAAACCCATTATTTATTTGAACTGCGTTTCAAATGAATACGTAGCATGGTTAGCTTAAACCCTTTTAATACGTACATTTAACTTATAAAAATGTTTGGAGATGGCTTAACTACGTTATTTACCCTCCCTAATCCTTTAAATACGCACATCTGAAATGCGCCTATTTCAACTGTGCTGTAATATGTAACATAATTGCCTTAATTATGTGATATAGATAACGACGTAGGAATTGTAATTACATCTATTAACTTTAATTTGTAATATATAAACCTTAAATATGGCTAGTTAGAATCAGAACTCAGCTTTGATTACACTGTATAGTAATTGTATCCCGTTGAGTATTCGTGTTGAGATCATACCTCGTTTAGGGTAGAGATCGATTAAGGGCTTTTAGATAGCAAATAGCTTGTTGATAGCTATGCTTGTGTCCCTGTGTGACATTTAGAGCCTATCTAATAACTTGTTGGTAGCTAGACTGAAACCCTGTTTTGATAAACAGGCTGGATCGTCCCCATCATTTGGAATCGATATATAGCTTGTTGATAGCTACGCTTGTATCCCTGTGTGGTATTTAGAGCCGAAGTAATAGCTTGTTGAGAGCTATGCTTGTGTCCCTGTGTGGCATTTCGAGTTAGAGTTTTAGCTTGTTTTATAGCTACGCTTGTGTATCTGTGTGGCATTTAGCGCCTGAGTAATAGCTAGATTGATAAACTACGCTTGTGTCCCTTTGTGACATTTAGAGCCTGAGTAATAGCTAGATTAATAAGCTACGCTTGTGTCCCTTCGTGGCATTTAGAGCCTGAGTAATAGCTAGATTAATAAGCTACGCTTGTGTCCCTTTGTCACATTTAGAGCCTGAGCAATAGATAGATTGATAAGCTACGCTTGTGTCCCTTCGTCACATTTAGAGCCTGAGTAAAAGATAGATTGATAAGCTACGCTTGTGTTCCTTCGTGACATTTAGAGCCTGAGTAATAGCCAGATTAATAAGCTACGCTTGTGTCCCTTCGTGGCATTTAGACCCTGAGTAATAGCTAGATTGATTGACTTGGATAGCGGACTGGTCGTGCCTGGACTGATACAGTTTGGGGGACGAACTTTTAAGAGTACGGCATTTACTACATATATTTTGAACAACACATTTTGCATTTAGGAAAGCTCTTAAGGCGAATAACCTATTATGTGGGCTTTGTAATATATAATATATATAAGAAAAGAATTTGATTTGATTTGAATTTTTATTGTATAATATATGTATAAAGACAAAGCCTCCAAAAAAGGTTGTTCGCCTTTTGAGCTTTCCCAAATGTGCTGTTCCTCCTGAAAAGCTTAATAGTAATACACAATGGTCGGCGTTCAAATCAATACAATGAAGACTACTTTTTTATTTATATATAAATAAGCATTAAAAAGAATCTGTAAATTGACAGCTTCTTTATGTTTCCATTTAAATGTGAATCCAAGTTGAGGGAAAGCTCGGTAGAAATCAAAATTGAAATAGAAAGTCTTGAATGGGATTGATATATACGACGACGACTGTAAAATAAATGAGTTAATGAATGGAAGGATAATGAATAAATAAATAAATACATACTCTGTCAGCTGTTCATGTCTTATATAAATAAATGAATTAATGAATGAAAGGAAAAATTAATGAATGCCTACTCTGTCAGCTGTTCATGTCTTATATAAATAAATGAATTAATGAATGGAAGGAAAAATAAATGAATGCCTACTCTGTCAGCTGTTCATGTCTTATATAAATAAATGAATTAATGAATGGAAGGAAAAATAAATGAATGCCTACTCTGTCAGCTGTTCATGTCCTCCCAAATGATTCTGTTTGAATTCTTGAAATAACTGTTCACGTTGGGTTGCCTCTTCTCCTTCCCTCTGCAGAACCTCGGCTAACCTCCGACTGAAAATATAATCAAATCAAATCAAGTTCAAGGGAGTGTTCATTTAAAGAGTTAAAATTATGATTTTCAAATGCTGTCCACAAAATAAATTTTTTAACCATCTATTTACCCTATATCTCAGGTAACGAAATAGAAATTTAAGCCAGATCAAATGTGGAAAAGAGTTGACCCTCCAAAAATTTTAGTTTCTATTCCGTCAAATAAGCATCATAAAAAGTAACGCAAAAAAAGCGATATGAAACCCGATCCATGTTTAAATACCTTCCGACACTAACTTGATTCTTTAGTCATTTGACGTAAAGTAAAAAATGACCTGTGAACTGTCAATGTAAAACTTTAACCCTTTTACGATGATCAGGAAATATCCTCCCTTACAGTCAGAACCCTGAAACTTTGGAATAGAAAGACGACTTTTAGACCAACGTTAAGATTTAACAAGTCCAATTTACGTGAGAGACAGCAATTGTGCAGTGTAAACAGACCCTTTCATTTATTAAGTGATTTAATAGTAGTACAATTATTTGCTTTTAAGCAGCACAAATACACTTAAGCACTGTTTTAATGTCGTCTTTCTATTCCAAGTTTCCTGTGTTATTTCCGTGATACCAAAAAAATGCGGAACTATCTCCTCGTTATGTACAGAATTACCACCATCACCACGTTGTGTACAGAATTACCACCATCACCACGTTATGTATAAAATTATCACCATCACCACGTTATGTACAGAATTATCACCATCACCACGTTTTGTACAGAATTATCACCATCACCACGTTATGTACAGAATTGGCACAATCACCGCATTATGAACAGAATTACCACAACCACCCCGTTATGTACAGAATTACCCCCATCACCACGTTATGTACAGAATTGCCACCATCACCACGTTATGTACAGAATTACCACCATCACAACGTTATGTACAGAATTACCACCCTCAATACGTTATGTACAGAATTACCACCATCACCACGTAATGTACAGAATTACCACCATCACCACGTTATGTACAGAATTACCACCCTCACCACGTTATGTACAGAATTACCACCATCGTACCACATTATGTACAGAATTGCCACCGTCACCACGTTATGTAAAGAATTGCCACCATCACCACGATATATACAGAATTACCACCATTACCACATTATGTACAGAATTTCCACCATCACCACGTCATGTACAGAATTACCACCATCACCACTTTATGTACATAATAACCACCATCACCACGTTATTTACAGAATTACCACCACTCTGATGAAATATGAACATACTCCTGCTCTAGCGCTTCCGCAGGGTTGGCTGCAGCAGAACAGTTTTCAAGACGGGAGTCGACACCTGCATCAGGATTTAAGTATACAGGGTGTCCCACAAAACATGACAGTTGGTAAAATAGTTTTGAATGTCTTCTTGCATATACTGTACTAGATGTTAAAGACTTTTTGCAGTTTATTTTGTTATGAAACTATTATACTTAAGTATAATCTTGATTTCAATTTTGTAAAATATTCTGTTTGATATCTAACAAATTATGAAAGAAGACATTTAAAACTATTCAACTACTTTCATGTTTCGTGGGACACCCTGTTTGTATAAAGATTAGCAAATAAGAGTTTGAGCCGAATTTTTATTCCTTTTTAATGACATTTTCGAATGCGATGCAAATATGCAGTGGAGGTTTAGAGAATTTCTGTTATAATTGTAACATTTTACCAATCTCCGATGATTACAAATACATAACAAGTAAATAGCATAGGGATGTAATGAAATCTGGGGATAATTTGTTTATATCAATAATAATATTAAAGGGACTGTAAGCGTAATTTCCAGTGACCCTACATGCATTGCAAAAATGATAGCAATTTCCGTTTTACGTACCCTTAAAACCTTAGTCTGATCAAGCATGAATTATATATTAATGTTTAGAACTTCAAAAACTGATTATTTTAATTGGGGTGACTTGCGCATTTCTACTACAGAAACACGTATAGGAATCAAACACTTTTAAACATAGAAAAACTACAGAATATTTCAAATTATGGATCAGATAAATAAAGAGTAACGTTGTGAATTGTGCATTTTCGTCTTTGCATTGTAGTGGCACTTGAAATTACGCTTACAGTCCCTTTAATAATGGATTTTTGAATACAATGCAAACCTGAATCTTTAAATGTAGAATTTACAAATGAGCAGTCTCCCTCAATGTTTGCTAAGGTCTCCCAGACAACCTCCTTCTGTGAAAGGAAACCTAGAATCCACGAAAACAAGTCTTGAAATATTAGTCGTCGTTGCATGTATCAATACAATGAAGACGACTTACGACTTTAATTTTGATTTCTATCAAGCTGTTGAACAGCTGGTGATTGGATAAAAGATACACATAAACAAAAGAAGCTGTCAATTAAAAAAGATTCTTTTTGTTTACTTGTAAACTTGTAATTTGAAAAAAGCTCGTTAGCAATCAAAACTTAAATAAAAAAGTCTTCTTCATTGTATTGACATAATCGCTTAACACTTTTCTTAAAACTTTTTTATTGCAATCAAAGTAGATCTGTTTTGGGAACTTCAGTCGATCTGTAAACATGCTTCAAGACTACTAAAAATTTTTTTTTTAAAATTACGAGGAAAAGTATTATATCAAGCTTTAATTTTCAAAAATTTAAAAAAAGTTTTTGTCACATTTTCTTTTTAATACTATTTTGATGGTCGTTTAAACTTTAGAACCAAAAAACAATGACAAAATTATAATTTCTTAAAAATAATTTTTTGTGATTTGAACCAACTTCAACATTAAATTTAAAATTAACAAATTGCTCATGTTTTCCACGAATGACAAGTCCAAGATTTTTAAACACCAAAGCTCCCGAAAATAAAAGATATGTTACGGCAAAATAGTCTTTATAGCTCTTAAACTAATTATCGTGCATTATCGTCTTTTACGGGGGAAGTGTGTGAGTGTGTGTGTGTGTAGGGGGTGGAGGGGGGGGGGAGGGTCAGAAAGTGTGTATTCCCTTGATCAGTAACGAGTATGAAAAGTTCTCCATTCTTCTTGAATAAGGTTGAGAAATGATTGTTTCGGAAGAAAACCGCCAACTCTAGTTCTTCCAGCTTCGCAGTCAGTTCGTATAATCTGAAATGAATGAATGTTTTTAAATTTTTATGAAAAAACTAATTATTTTCTTTCTTTTTACCATGTAATGATTTTGGTCATTTTCTGTAGGATTGAAGAGTGAAGAAGATATAAAAATATACAGTCATAATCAGAAATACTCGAGATTGATTTTTGATTAATCAGATGACTTTACAATCTAATTTTACAAATATAATAATGAAACGATTATTACAAAATGCCCTAAAACTGCCAATTCCAAAATGTGGTCTGCCTTTATTGTGCGCTTAAAATTACCAGAGATATATATGTAAAGTCGGCTGATTCACTGACAATTAATTCCGGATCTTTCTGGTTATGACTGTATCGAAAATAATTTTTGAACCCAGATTTTTTCTATCTACAAGAGTGATAACCTTTTTTTGCCAATAAAGACAATTTTACAGTTAAAATGAATAATGTCTTAAATCAATTTGCTAGATTTTGTACAGCAGAGAGGGGCGGCGTTCTTATCAAGATAAATGAAAAAAGTACTACAAGTTATTAATCAACCCAAAAGCCAATATTTAAAAGATTCCGAAACAAAGAACACACTTGAAATAATCCTTGTACTTAAGAAAATTTCGAAAAAATGTTAAGGTTTGAAATGAGCAGTATCGTAATGAAGGATTTTCTAGGCGAGGGTTCTTTTGGAGTCATCTATGTTATTTTGCTGAAGTTAAAAAAAATAGGACTTTTTATGAGCAATAATGCGCGTAGGACCAAAAAAATCTTGTTAATATTTTTCCTAAATTGACTTGAAATTTGATCTTGTCAATTCAGAACATGGAATCAAGGCCCTTATTTACGCCCCTGGAGCTCGGAATTCATCTCTGACCTCAGTTATTGAGAGTAAGTACTGTAATTGTTACTGAGAGTAAGTACTGTAATTGCTACTACCCCCCCCAATCATACAGACTTAGAATTCAAATTAGTAAATTCAATTTCTGAAGTCTAAGACAAAACAATAATTGTTGCGTTATTTTCTTGTCTGAAGTGTAACATACAGTGGTCGAAGGTTATATCAATACATTGAAGACGACTTTATAATTTTATTATAATATAAGTTTTAATTGTTAACAAGCTTTTTTGGAATTTTAAGTTTACAAGGAATTGAAGAGAACCTTTTTTAATTGTCAGCTTCTCATAGTTTCCATGTTAATGTGTACACATGCTGTTTATAAAGCAAAATTGAAATCGAAAGTCGTCTTCATTGTATTGATATATGCAACAACGTGTGTTTAGAAAACGTTGTTTTTGTTCTTTTAAAGAATGAGCCTTTGTAGGTTAATAAAAAAAAACAGAATATTGATTTTTAATGATTTGAAAAAAATATTGAAAGTGGAACATCAAAAAGCAAGTTTTTTTTTCATTCTTTTTGAAAGTTTTAACCCGAAAATGTAGTCATATTCCCCAGTTCAGGGAATATAAAAAATATGGCGCTCTTCCCAGTGCCCAAACATGCATCTTATGGAAAAAAATTATTTTTAAAAAAAGGAAAAAAAAATAATTTTTCGATAAAATATACACCCCTTGTTATGTAAAGTTGATAAATATTTGCTAACCTGTGGATCTACTAACCAACCATGGTACAGATTGATATGTAGAATATCAAATATAAGTAGTTCTGAAGTATATTCAAACTCATCTACTCCTGTAAACTTTACATTCACATCCAAACCTAGATTAACATTTATTTCTAATTTTTTGTCACGGATCTATGAATAGATAAAAGATAAATAATTCCTAAAAAATCTCCCCACACCCCGCCCCCCCCCCCACCCTCCTATATACATTAGAAATATTAATTATGCTAAAGTTTATCAAAATCCGCTCTAGATATCTCTGAGAAAACATTTAGAAAAAAAATAATAGTTTTGAAGAGGCTGTAGAGATAATTTTAAGTTTTATCATGTGTCATGTCCGATTCACAACAGTACTGGACAAATCTTTGTTTGATTATAGACGATAAAGAAGTCTTTTTTTTATTGCTGAATAAGTTGCTGATTAGACACCGTTGTGACTTGGACTCTACACTCTACACAAGCAGAGTCAGTCACATTTAAAGAGACTATAATCGTTATTCCAAGTGACCCTCCATAGAAAGATGGCAATGCCCGGTACCCTTAAAAACTTTGTCTGATCAAGTATAAATTAGATATCAATGTTTTTTCCTCCTTCAAACTGAGCTGGGATATCCTTAATCCCGATTGATTAATTAATCTGGAGATTAATGACAAGTGGAGTACAAGAATTATTTAATCTGGAGATTAAGAAAAAGAGGAGATTAAGCCTTAACCCCGATATTCACCATTCAAAAGTTCCCAGCTCTGGTTAATATCAATGAAAAACATCTATATTTTCCACATTTTTGATCAGATAAAGGTTTTCAGGGTACCATTGATTAACGGAAATTACCATCTTTGCATAGAGGGTCACTTAAAATTTAACAAAAATTAATATCCCGGTTGGCTACCTATTACTATAACTATTACTACCTGTACTAAGTTTGGGTAAAACAGCCACCGCGTCATTAATATTCCGTTCTAAATCCAGATCCTCTTTACTGGTACTAAATATATTTAAGTAAACATACATATATATATTTATATGTATATATATTTATATATGTATATATATTTATATTTATATATAAATACATTTATACTAAACTATATATATATATATATTTCTTCAATATCTTAGCAGTTTCTTATCTAACTAAGGGGTATATTTTTCTTGAAGAATCATTCCCCACTCCTTCCTCTTTGGAAAAAAAATATTCTTCCCCAGAATTGTTGGGTAAACAGTATAAATAAGGATGAAAAAACTTTCCTTATAAAGTGTAATTTTTCATTTTATCTCCCCAGATCTTAATTCTTAAAAATATACACCCCTGAACTAGCTTCAGTATACCTTAATGATAAAATTAGATCTCCTAGATACTCTAATAACTGTTCAGCACATACAACTTCTGCCCCTAAAAACATTAAATAAGAATAAATCTAAACACTAGGCTCCCATCTTCTAATTCAACTTTTAATCGTGGCTCTTTCTGTGAACATTTTCTCTTTTGCAATATTTAAAAATAACAAAACAAAAAGTTTTATGGATTTTCAAAATTTTACGAAGTTTTATTGTAGACAAATTTTTGTAATTCTGAGCATTCATAAACCTTCCCTGGGGTCCCTTGAGTTGCCATTAAATATTTGGGCCCGATCGGAGTTCAGATGTTTTGAGTTTACAGGATAAGATACGATAGGGTAAGATACGATAAATTCGTGACAAATTCTTTAAAACTATTTATGTATGTATGAGTTAAGAGCTTTTATATAATATTGTAGAATTATTTATCAATAAAATATATACCCCAGTAAAATAAAGGAAAAAATACCTTCGGGGAGAGAAAGTTTTCCTCTCAACAACAGAATATTGACAATACTAATAAACAGCAACAAATATTAAAAAAGTGAACTTTGTTTTTTTCTATTTACCTTAAACTAATTTGATTTCCCTAATTTTAACCGGTTCTTGTTCTTGTGTATTGCTTTTGCAAGTTTATTGACCAATGTCAATCTATTGGATCCATAAGACAGTAAACGTAATTTATAGTGTCCCTCCATTAAGAGTTTGATTTACAACTGTACACTTAAAGCTTTTTCTGATTAAGTATGAATTAGATATTTTTTTTTTTGAACTGTTTATCTCCATTTGTAATTTTTCTTCAAAAGCTACTTATGCATTTTTTGATTCAGTGACATTTGAAAAACTAAACTATTATAGATGAAAAATACCATGTGAACTTCTACAATTCTGAGTCAGATTAAGGTTTCAAGGGTACCGTTGTGAATCGGACATTCCTGCCTTTAAATGAAAAGTCACTTAGAGTTACGACAACCATTCAGGTGGCTTTATCCTGTTATGCCACCCCTGCATCAGTATATTTGTGAATTTAAAGAATAGTTTGAAAATGGCATTTTGTTAATCTCAGATTTATTGCTTTCCTAATGAGAGGACAGGGGCCATTTTCGTTCTGAGTAATAATGGCACTGGACCTTAATCCGAACTCAATCCACTTAACAGCATAGATATTCTTATCCTTGTTAAACCCATCCTCTTCATCAGCAGCTGGGCCCCCTCGGGGACTAGGAACAGCTGGGTCCTCTAGGTTGGAGGGGATAACTGGATCCTCTAGGTTGGAGGGGATAACTGGGTTCTCTAGGTTGGAGGGAATAACAGGGTCCACTAAGTTGGAGGGAATAACTGCTTCCTCTAGGTTGGAGGGGACAACTGGGTCCTCTAGGTTACAGGGGCTAACTGGGTCCTCTAAGGTGGAGGACACAACTCCGTCCTTTAGGATGGAGGGGACAACTGAGTCCTCTAAATTGGAGGGGACAGCTGAGTCCCTTAGGTTTGAGGGACTAATGCCCAGTGTAGAGCTAGAATTGACATTGAACTCGGATTTATCATTATTATCATCAAGCTTGGTTGGTTCTATGGATACTGGAACTCTATCAGTTTCGGACGGATTTTCTTCTACCAAAGAGATTTCTGGACTTTGTGGATTTGTTTCTAGACTTTCCATTTGGTCGGCAACATTCTCAGTACCTAATGCTGACTGGGACTGAATAATATCAGTGCTTGAGAGACTTAGTGGTCCGATGTGATTTCCTGAAATAAGTAATAAATTGATTTTAAAAGTTTTTTGTTTTCAAAAAATACTAAAAATACTATACTAGTTTACAGTTATGAATAATATCATTACCAGCGGGTTGAGAGGGATTTTCCGAAATAGAATGTTCTGTTTTGTTTTCTTTTGCATTATCTTCATCCTGGTGAAATAAAACAAATTTAAATAAATCGATATTTTAAGCAAATCCTCAAAAAGTGTGTCATCAGAAGTAAGAAAGCCTGTACAGCGTACATTATACAGTTTATGCATTCATAAATGATGGCATTTTTCATCATTTAAATTGCTGCAAAAGTCGCTTTCTAGAACTTTCGATTGTGGCGAATTCATTTTTAAAATTAAATATAAATTTTATTCTTTTTTAGCCCTTTAAATCATTAGGTTTCCACAATTTAGCGATAAAAATTCCACCCAAAAATAGTAATGGCTTCATAGCACTTTTAAAAGACTGACATAGCTTTAAAGGGAGTGACCGGCTATGTAAGGTAATTGAACTGAGTATGCAGTGTTGTCGAAAACTTCTTTAGGATTCATTTGAGACATATTTCACTTTTTAAAGATCTGTAAATCCTGAGTTTGAGCGCAAATTCGATGTCCAAAACTCCTGATTTGGGGGTGGATACGCTTTCAGAATTAGTTTTTTTAAATTATTAAATAACGACAACGAAAAATAAAGTAAAAATTATACAGTAATCTAATTAGATGGCTAGGAACGTATTTCACAAAAGAAATTTGTCAATAAATCAATGCTAAAATCAATTATTTCGTTTTCATTATTATATTGAATTTCTAACTTTCTTTGAATTAATTCGCAGATTTCTTCAAATTCTTTAAATGTGGTCTTTTCAATAATAATTATAGAAAATCTGCGAACATCTTTGTGAATAACGAGAAACTAATAATTGAACAAGATTACTTATTTTCGATGATAAGATTAATTTTTATTTTCTCAAAATGTTCCTAAACATGACGCCTATAGTTTATTGTAGAATATTTTTACATTTTATGTTGTCGTTAATTAATAATTAAAAAAACTAATTCTGAAAGCGTATCCACCCCCAAATCAGGAGTTTTGAACGTTGAATTTGAGCTCAAACTCAGGATTTACAGACTTTTAAAAAGTGAAATATGTCTCTAATGAATCCTAAAGAAGTTTTCCACAACACTGCATACTTAGTTCAACTACCTTACATAGCCGGTCACTCCCTTTAAAGTCAATGTTTCAAGAATATAATATTACGTTTAAAAATGGTTGATTGTTCGATGATTGTGTAGTAGCAGGCAGAAGGCTTGAAACGTCATCCATAGATATGACAGGATCTGATTCTTCTTTTGCACTTTCTGCGTCTATGGAATTAATAGCGGATGAAGATTCTTCTGAATGTTTACTCTCGTTAGATGTTGAAGGGTCAAGCACAAGCATATGCTCTTCATCATCAGTTAAGGTGGATCTTGATGTGCCTTCAACACAAACATTTCCAATAATTTCATCCTTGGAACTCATCTTGTCTAAAATAAATGAAAACATTTTTACAATCGCAGCTCAATCACAGATGAATCGTGTTTTAGTTTAAGATTTAATCCTGGTTCAGAATAGGCTTATCTACAGAGCGTCCCATATCATATTAGATTATCCCGAAAATCGCAATTTAGACCCGTTGACGGTCTAATATGATGTGGGACACCCTGTATATTATATAAATTGTATTCTGTTTTTTTTGTTCGATCCAAACTTGAACCCGTGTACCGATTTGCCTCCAATTTTTAATGGGGCCGGAACTCGGGAGAGTCACTGGTATGTTCTTAGCATGGTTTCATGATTCTTAGTTGTGTGGGTCGACTTAATCAGAAGAAATAGCTAAAATCGTAATTTAAGGCCAAGTGCGAGTAAATTGCGGGAGTAACCATGAGTAACGCGGGAATCGTTATATTTGCGCACACACTAGTTTCAAATAAATAAGGATCTTATGAAAATTCCCAAAAAAACGGTCTTCTCCGCTGTTTTCATGCATCTTTTTGAAACATATGATATGAAGCTGCAGCAGAAGGGGGGAGGGGGGGGGTTGAAAATCGATCCTTATGAAATTACACCTCAATCTGTTTTGAAGTCTCTATTTAGTCTCATGTCCCTAAAAAAAATTTAGGACCAATTAAACATAATCCATATCATATTGGATTATTTATCAGGTTTAACACTGACATACGCACATATTACTCTAAAACCCTCGTGTTTTCTACATGCAAACTTATATATTAGGCTGCGCTTAAATTATACAATTTTTAAAGTTGATTCAAGCTTTCAAAATTTTCTGATTAGTCCAGAAAATCTCAATTTAGAGCTATAGACAAGTGTCCGTCCCGAGAACAAGATTAAGACACTTTCTGGGCCGAGCGCTGCGGCTAGGACAGACTAGGGGCCGAGCGCTGTGGCCACATGGTCAATTATATCCATCGTCCTACATATAGGATGATTATATATTTAGGGTTAGGTTAGGTTGAGACACTTTCTGGGCCGAGTGCTGCCACTAGGGGGCCAAGCGCTGCGGCTTGGGGGCCAAGCGCTGCGGCTTGGGGGGCCAAGCGCTGCGGCTTGGGGGCCAAGCGCTGCGGCTTGGGGGCCAAGCGCTGCGGCTTGGGGGCCAAGCGCTGCGGCAAGGATAGGCTAGGGGGCCGGGCGCTGCAGCCAATGGTCAATTATATCCATGTTTTACATTTATTAAGATCCATCTACAAAATTGATAGGCCGGATCGAGGGGGGTCCAAAAATTGTTCACTCGTAAATTACCCATAAACAATCCGAAATGATGTGGGACACCCTGTATCATATAAGTAAGACCAAGTTATAGTCAAAGCACTTAAAAATTAATATCATTTATGTTTTGCTGCAATATTGTCCAAGCGAAGATGCCGCGTCTGTTTTCTTTAATTCAAGCTGACCAACCTGAAAAGTGAGAAAAGATGGTGAATAACGAAAAACAAAAGTTGTGAAATATAAGATTGTCGCTCATCCGACAAAAATTATTGCTCATCCGACCTAAAAATTGCTTATCCAATCTAAAATTGTTGCTCAAACCTCAACGGACCTAAAAATGGCGCCTACCTGGCCTAAAATGTATGCTTGCAACAATTTAGCCAAAATTTATTTTGATCTGAGATCGGAAAAACTACAAAGTTCTTTACGGACCTAAAACTTTTTAAAACCAAACCGACCTAATAGGCGCACGATACTCAGGGTCGGAAAACCTTTATAGAATCACCTACCTCGGACTGTCCTCGGTTTACAAGGTATCGAAAAATAGTTCTTAAAAAAAATTTTTTTTAATTGCCTATCATAAATTAAGAAAAATCAATTTTTGGTTAAAACTAATTTTACTACATAAATTACACCATAATAGATCTTTAGACGTAGGTCGGTTGAATTGCACCTCGATAATTTCCGCGTTTTTAGATTTTTGTGTAGTTTAGTCTTCCACTCCCCATTGCGTACACTCACTCCAAACTCACTCCTACGCTTCATCCCTGCGATACCGACTCAAATGCAGATCCAACATAGGAAAATGAAAAAATGGAGAAAAGAATGAGAAAATGATTTTACCAGAACTGATTTTATCAACATCAATTCTTAGTTTAGCCCTGTTTGTTTGGGCAGTCCTGGCTAAATATAAAAAAGAAGGAAAAACTAGATTTTCAGGTAGAATTTCACTTTATATTTATGTATGACCACGGGGCGTGTATGAGGACCTGTAAATCTGTCCTGGGGGTTAAGAGAGTCTGTCCTAGTGAACGATTTTTGGAACTCCCTTTAAAGTTAATGTTTCAAGAATATAATATTACGTTTAAAAATGGTTGATTGTTCGATGATTGTGTAGTAGCAGGCAGAAGGCTTGAAACGTCATCCATAGATATGACAGGATCTGATTCTTCTTTTGCACTTTCTGCGTCTATGGAATTAATAGCGGATGAAGATTCTTCTGAATGTTTACTCTCGTTAGATGTTGAAGGGTCAAGCACAAGCATATGCTCTTCATCATCAGTTAAGGTGGATCTTGATGTGCCTTCAACACAAACATTTCCAATAATTTCATCCTTGGAACTCATCTTGTCTAAAATAAATGAAAACATTTTTACAATCGCAGCTCAATCACAGATGAATCGTGTTTTAGTTTAAGATTTAATCCTGGTTCAGAATAGGCTTATCTACAGAGCGTCCCATATCATATTAGATTATCCCGAAAATCGCAATTTAGACCCGTTGACGGTCTAATATGATGTGGGACACCCTGTATATTATATAAATTGTATTCTGTTTTTTTTGTTCGATCCAAACTTGAACCCGTGTACCGATTTGCCTCCAATTTTTAATGGGGCCGGAACTCGGGAGAGTCACTGGTATGTTCTTAGCATGGTTTCATGATTCTTAGTTGTGTGGGTCGACTTAATCAGAAGAAATAGCTAAAATCGTAATTTAAGGCCAAGTGCGAGTAAATTGCGGGAGTAACCATGAGTAACGCGGGAATCGTTATATTTGCGCACACACTAGTTTCAAATAAATAAGGATCTTATGAAAATTCCCAAAAAAACGGTCTTCTCCGCTGTTTTCATGCATCTTTTTGAAACATATGATATGAAGCTGCAGCAGAAGGGGGGAGGGGGGGGGTTGAAAATCGATCCTTATGAAATTACACCTCAATCTGTTTTGAAGTCTCTATTTAGTCTCATGTCCCTAAAAAAAATTTAGGACCAATTAAACATAATCCATATCATATTGGATTATTTATCAGGTTTAACACTGACATACGCACATATTACTCTAAAACCCTCGTGTTTTCTACATGCAAACTTATATATTAGGCTGCGCTTAAATTATACAATTTTTAAAGTTGATTCAAGCTTTCAAAATTTTCTGATTAGTCCAGAAAATCTCAATTTAGAGCTATAGACAAGTGTCCGTCCCGAGAACAGTCCAAAAATCGTTCTCTAGGAAATTACCATCTCGTGAACATGGTTACCTCAGCCTCAGTTTGGGAATACGTAAGAGTACGTATTTTCCATACACATGACTTACTTATTTTCGTAACCATTTCCTTGGTAAAAATACGTATTTTATATCCGTAAAAATACGTATACGACAAACGTAAAAAGGCTTATGTTAAAAACCTAAAAAATTCGATAAATCAGGTATTTTTAGGGTTTTCCTATACGTAAAGTACTTATTTTTAAACGCATATTTAAGTTCTTAAAGCAAAATTTTAAAGGTTATGACTATTATTAAGCATGCATATTTATCCTTCATATCTATACAACTCATTCCACAGATTTCAAACCATATTCATATCAATTAATTTCAATCCAATCCAATATTCTTCTACACAAATTCCCACCATCATCATTCCTTCATCTGTATCCATCTAAATAAACATTCATATATACACTTGTTTAAGTATATCTTCTGGGTATATTCCTAGAGAACGATTTTTGGATTTATTCGTAAAAGTACGTTTCTATAAAAACCTAAGCCTTAATAAAAACCACTTGGTATGATAAATACGTAAATATACGTAAGTTATTTACCAAAAATTAAGCAAACGAAATTTTACGTAAATATACCTAATAATATGTATACCATAGAGGCTTTAGTATTTTGGGGTTTTTCGGGTTTGTAGGTTAAGCATGAAATTCATAAATATGATTACTTTCAACAGCTTTGTTTGCGCCGCAGCAGGCAATACAGAAATGAAGTATAGAAGCACTGACAAGGAAGTTGGAATTGTTTATTTTATAGCCCAGGGTATATATTTTCTTGGAAAAATGTCCGATATTTTTTACTCTGGTTTATTGTTTACCTACAGTGTTCCAAAATATTAACTATGTTATTTATTTATTTAAGCGCGAAGGGGAAAGAAGGGTTTGAAAAGTTCCAAAATAGAAGATTTAAAACTTTTAAGATTATTTGTTTTATTTGTTAAAGACGGTGAGGGTAGTAGTGAGGATGAAGAGGAGGATGAGGGGGAGGGGGACTGCTCCAGCAAGGAGAACTTTGTTGATGAGACCTTGCTAGAGTCCTGCGGGTCCTCGGTCTGTGGAGAGAGTGCTAAGGTGAATAAATTCTGTATATTTAGAAGAATGTGGTGGGGGTGGGGGGAGTATGGTTTTCGAAGAAATTTTGGGGTTAAATTAAAAAAATGTAAAGTGCAAGTTTTATGATCTTGATGAAGCTGGAGGGGTAACAAATTTGTCAACAAAATCTTATTCTCTGCAGTTAAGTAAAACTTCTCACTAATAATGATAATAATGGAATAAACCCCGGCAACGTCAGTTATTCCAGCTAGTAAAATATAAATATTAAATTTGCCGTAATATTTACTTGATTAAAAATATAAAAAAAGACAAACAAATGGGGGTTAATTTCTAATTATTTTTTAGAACCAAACTATATTCTTTCCTCGAATTTTTTTTCATCACAGACTTTACATGTAAATCATGGATTTTTACAGTCAAGGCGAGCAAGAAAACAGCGAAGATTTGTCTGAATCTTAGCTTATCTTCAATTCTATCTGTTGTATTCTAGGATGAAACTCCTTTGTCTAGCACTCCGGGAACTCCTAAAGCCACCTCAGGTTTGTTAATTCCTTTTTTATTACGCGATCTCCATTGAGATTAAATGCATAATAATTGTCGTCTTTTTTCTTTCTTTTTTATTACAATTTTAAAACTGATTTTATGAGTTATAATTGTGATTGATTCTATGAATTATGAAAATGATTTTATAAATTATAATTGTAATTTACTGTGAACTATAAAACGAATGAATTTAATTAATTATAACAATTATTCATTAAATATTAATGGGTTAGTGTGGGGAACTCGTGTATTGTGGATATCGAGACCAATGTTTGATCTCGATATTTTAGTATCTGCAGATTAACTTAATCTTTATTTGATATCTTGCATGGTAATCGACTCATACCCATTACCCAGTCAGGGGTTAAATGGAAAGGAAAGGAATAAATGAAGGGATTCAGCTTCGATTCCTAAATTACTCCCCACAGTGTATATCGAGATCTAGCGATCGTGATTATGAGTAATAGTATCCAACACAAAAAAATCCCAGCTCAGTTAAAACAAAATTTGTTGAAAGCAATCATATAACAGTTTCAAAATTACCGCCATATTTGTAATAGTGGTAACTTAAACTTCCCAAGTTCTTTGATGAATATGGATATGTCCCTTACATACAGGGTTACCCACAAAGGATTTGACTTTGGCATATTTTCTCGAAAAATCATGTTATTAGCCCCTCCCACTCTGGAATATTTGTACTTTGACTTGAGTATATTAATTGTAATACAAATGAGGAAGAATTGACTAAAAGAATTGATTCAAGTTTAAAACTAAAAACCTGTATATCTACTTAAACCTGACTAATTTCTCTCTAGCTCATCTAGCTTCAGTTCAAAGATCCCTGAATTCGTTAAAGTTTATAGAATACTACTTAATTTCAGGGGTATTTATTTTTCCATTAATTTTTTTAAAGTGTGGGTCTTGTTTTAATCATTTTTGCAATTAAAACATAATTGTTAAATTATTTTGTAGAGTTGCAATTTAATTTTGCATGGTCAAACCATGTTTATTATATATTTAGCAATTTTACAGAAAATAAATTACAAATAAAAACATGGTGTCCCAGTAAATATCGGCAGGGAGTGACAATTACTTCAGATCAGGGGATAGGATCCGGAACCATTGGATCCGCTACATTTTGTCTTACTGAATCCGCATCCGCAAATTATGCGGATCCACGGATGGATCCGCATGGAACAAAATATCAATAAAAAACTGAAGAAAATTTTTGTTTGCACTCACACCCCAAATCTGAACTGTTGATAAAAGAGAGATTTAAAAAAATTTGCATAAAAGAAAACGATAAAAGAAGTAAATCAAGAAAAAAATTCTTTTGTTAAAGAAATCAGTAAATCTTTGAGAAATGTTCATTACCTAGATCCCGATCCATTTTTTCCATCCGGATGTGCATCTATATTAAATGGTTTCAAAGCACTGCTTTATATGTAGCTTTTTTTTGTGGTGATAGCCGACTCATTTTTATCTTAAATGCAATCCAAAATGTAGGAATAAGGCAATTTTTGTCCTATTTTCCTTACGTCTTGGATGATTATTTCAAGAAAAATAAAATAAAAATAGATTCAGGGGTGTATATTTTCTCTGAGATTAATATTTTTGCCCCCCTTCCCTGGACCCACCCCTTTTCGAATCATTTCCCCCCCAAAAGTCACGACCAATTAAAAAATTTTGGATTTTGACTGAAATGTACACTGGAGCGTTTTGGTGCTCTAAAAGTCCCCCCGATTTTTTGAAAATCTTGAATTCGCGCTGGTATTCTCTTTACAATCAAACTGAATTATATTTTTAGTTTTATTGTTATTGTTATTGTTATTGTTATTGTTATTGTTATTGTTATTGTTATTGTTATTGTTATTGTTATTGTTATTGTTATTGCTATTGCTATTGCTATTGCTATTGCTATTGCTATTGCTATTGCTATTGCTATTGCTATTGCTATTGCTATTGCTATTGCTAATGCTATTGCTATTGCTATTGCTATTGCTATTGCTATTGCTATTGCTATTGCTATTGTTATTGTTATTGTTATTGTTATTGTTATTGTTATGTGCAGGGTTAAGTAGAAGACAGAGGAAGAATAGAAAGAAAGAAGACAAGGGACCGAAGAAATCCAAATCTCCTATATTATCCAGGTATATATATATATTATCCAGGTATATATATATTACCAGCAGAAGTACCCTTGCAATGCTGCCTTAAAAGCTTTGTCTGATCAAGTATTAATTAAATATCTATGTTTTTGTTTCTTTAAACCTTTCATTTTAATTTGTGGTGTCTTTGAAAGTGATTTGCGCATTTCTTGCTTATAGGAAGCAATGGAAAAATTATCTGCATTAAACACTTTGAAAAACAGTGTTACAGTGTTATCTTTCACAAGTTTGAAAAGATTAAGGTTCAAGGGTACCGTTGTAAATCGGGCAATGTCATCTTTAAATGGAGGGTCGCTTGAAGTTACGTTTACAGTCCCTAAACACAACCATACGCAATACACAGATAAAAATCCTTAAAATTTATCATTAAGTTTCAATTTATTAACTTATTAAGTCTATGTACTGAATTAGTATCTGTTGTCCCGTAATAGTTGTAACATATGTTCAAACAAAATAAACAGTTTAATTTCCCATCATTGTTCAAGAGGTCAGCAACCCATAGCGACGGAAAAAAAAATCTTTTATTCTTCCTTGTAATATAAAAATTTTGTTGAGTAAAATATGTAAAATTTGACAGAATACAATTTTGTCAACGTCCAAAAAACAAAATTTGTAATTGCCTAGCGCGCTAGCAAAACGTTCCATATTTTCATGGTATCAACGTTTGTGTAATTATCCCTTTACTATTTGATTTTTAGAACGAGCTCTGAGGAGTTAAAACCTGACTTAACCCGTTCCAAGAAGAATAGTGTTCCTTGTAAACAATATACTAAACTAAATATGCCAGACAAGGTAAAGAATAGTGTTCCCTGTAAACAATATACTAAACTAAATATGCCAGACAAGGTAAAGAATAGTGTTCCCTGTAAACAATTACTAAACTAAATATGCCAGTTACGGTAAAGAATAGTGTTCCCTGTGAACAATATACTAAACTAAATATGCCAGTCAAGGTAAAGAATAGTGTTCCCTGTAAACAATTACTAAACTAAATATGCCAGTTACGGTAAAGAATAGTGTTCCCTGTGAATATCGAGATCTAGC